GTCGTCAGATATTGGAGTTTTTTTTACAATAATTGTTACTTTCATTCATTATTGTTAAAATAAATAGTAAATATTTTTTTTTTCCAAGTGGACGTGTCCGACCATTGAGACGTTTACGAATTAGTACAAATCGGTCCGCCACGCACGAGCCCTAAATCGAGTTCGTTTAACTCCCTCGGACTGGGATCTTTTGTACGTATTGGTCCTTTATTCGATATAGACGATAAGATTACAAGACGATAGTATTGGCAAGCAGAGCCAATACCGTGCGGGATTATCGCGAGTGTTTGCGATGAGTCTATAAAAGTAGAATGCAATTTTCGATCGCACCGAGACACGCACGCGCGCGCGCGCGCGTATCGAGGGAAAAAAAGAAAAGGAACAAAGGCGCGCACCTTTTTGCATTCCACGGCCAAGTGCTGTCCTACCATTCGCACGCTCGAATCCTCCTGCTGTCCTTTATCCTCCTGCTGTCCTTTATCCTCCGAACGGCCCGCTGTGCACGGCGCGAACAATCGCGGACGAATGTCGAGCGCACTCGAGCACCACCTATGCACCACGCCGCGGCGCTCGTGGATATAATACAGCCGGTAATTACTCATTCGTGAAGAACACTCGGGTCGAAAGCTCGCCCGTGGTGGTAATTCAAGGTATTGTAAAAAGAGCATTATGTAACGCTCTTAAGTATCGATTACGTAAGCGATACTCTGGAGCGCCGTTGTACATTTCTTGCGTTTCTTTCGCCTTGATTCGCACTTGGTTCCCAGCGCGCGCGCGCGATCCGAACATCTCGTAGGCTATAATAAAATGGACGATGACACGGGCGGACAATCGATGCGTGACGACACCGTGTCGTCCTGTCGCACGCGGTGCGATCGCCAGACGCCAGATCGGAATCGACCAACTTTTTTTATAGACCGTCGCTTCGTCGATTTACGACGCGACGTTCGCGCGCGACTGTCGCGGTATAATTGATCTTATTTTCGTATCTAGTCGATAGCATACAGCCTTGAGACATATTTTCGCTTGCTTTTAATGAACCGTTGCATATGACCTACTTTTTACCTGGACGAAACGAACGCGATCGTTTTGTCACGGCTACTCGCGAATTTAGCAATATACTCCGTTCCGTCAAACGATTGGCAAACGTTCTCTCTCTCTCTCTCTCTCTCTCTCTCTCTCTCTCTCTCTCTCTCTCCCTCTCTCTCTCTCTCTCTCTCTCTCTCACTCACTCACTCTCACTCTCCTTAAACGATCACTCCGTGCGGCAGGCAGCTGCGGTCTCTTTTTCTTTCTTTCTCGATTAATTCTTAGACTCCCCTCTCTCGCCGTCGCTCTCCCCCACGAAACATGCAAGGTTCTCGCGATAATTTTGCACCTCCTCGCGACACATACTTTCACTATTTGCGCCAACCATCGACGTCATACAGGCCCCATCAGCCGAAGAAATTGCGGTAAATTCAGCGACGACGTCAGGATCGCCGCGTTGGACCGTCGCGTTCGCAGTTTCTTTCGCATCGCGACATTCTCCCACCCACGAGGAAACTGTAATAATATCCTTGATTTGTATTACCTGGAACGTTAGAGAATACTTGAAATTATCGAGAGAGAGAGAGAGAGAGAGAGAGAGAGCACGGTACAGGAGAGCACCGCGAGAGTGTTACCACCACAGCCACGTCGGTCTAATCAGTCTTCTTGCTATGTCTCTCTCTAAACTTTTACCGAGAAACCAAGACATGACATAAAGATACATATCGTGTGGATACATTGCGCGTTCGCACCGCGCACGAAGCTCCTCTGCATCGAAACTCAGCAACTCGGCAGAACGAGCCCGTGTCCACCGCGCGACGATCCTCCGCGTCGGGTCGCAATCGCGCTTTTGTCGGCAGCGATAAGGAGCGAAAACGAAAACGCAAGCATCGACCTTCGGAACAAAATCTGGCGCGCATGGCGGAACGGTCGCCGGCGCGGCGAAACCTCCCCTCGGTCATTGTCGTCCGGTCGTCTGTACGCGACGGGCTCGTTTTTCTTCGTCGAAACGCACGCACAGGCCGAGATCAAACGCGTTCGCGGCAGAGAGCGCGGTGTTCGAGGCTGTCGACAACAACTACAACAGCGTCAACATCGGACACTCTCCGATCTCATCCGGATTTCTTTCTCTTTCTCCTTCCCTCTTCCCCTCCCCTCTCTCTCTCTCTCTCTCTCTCTCTCTCTCTCTCTCTCTCTCTCTCTCGTTCGCGGGAATCGCGACGATGACGCGTTTAAAAGACCGCGGCGGGTGTGTGTCGCACGGCAGGCCAATAAGCGAGCGCGCCGTCGGAGGCGCGGCTTGGCTGACGCGCTGTGACGTAACGCCGTTTAAAAGGCGACCCGTGTGAGATGAGGGAGTCAGTCGCACGACGCGCGCTGTACTGTGTAGATATCCTGCAGCAGGAGGAGACGTCGGACTCACCACCAGTATCGCCATCGCCGCTGTCGCTGTCGTTGTCGTCGTCGTCGTCGTCGTCGCCGTGGAGGCTAGTGCATTGGCGTATCTTGTCCTTGCCTTCCTCCGACGTTCTTCCTTCACCCTCTCTTGTCATCCTCCTGCTCCTCCTCCTTCACCTCCTCCCTCTCCACCTGTTCTCGCGCTTAAGTCTCTCCCTTTCCTCCGCGATTTTCGCATCCACCCGCGTTCGTTTCGTTTCTCGTGAGGGATTCATCTCAGCGGCGGAGGGTGGTCTTCGGGTCTTGTGGAGATTTGCGATCGAAAGATGGGGAGGGGGAGAGAGAAAGAGAGAGAGAGAAAAGATCGTCCTCGGCTGAATAGTGGTGCGCCTTTACGTGAAACTTTTCAGCCGGAACACCGGAAAGATTGACGCGAAGGTTGACTCGTGCGCGTCGCGTGTGTGCGTGCGTGTAATTGAGAAAGAGAGAGAGGGGGGAGAGAGAAATATTAATCGCTAGGTACTCGTGGACGGTGATTATCCGCGGTTTTCCATCATTCGCTTAAAGTCGCTCGATCGTAGATAAGATTCGCAGGGAGCAGCTCGAGTCGAACGTGCGATTCCGCGATATTTTCTCTGATCTAAACCGCGAGAGTCGTCCGCGAGATTACGAGAGATCGTTGTAACGTTAACGCTAAACTACAGATTCGCGATTCCGCGCTTCGTCGATTCGCGCCGTTCGCGACCGGCGAATAATCGGTCACGGCTGCCGCATGTTGCTTGATCTCGGAAGCTACGCCCGTTGCTGGCCTTCTTCTTTTTTTATAGCAGTTTGTTAACTTGCCAGTTGACGTGCGTTACCGCAAACGCGAGTAAATTTTCGAGAGATAGCGATACGCTGATAGCGGCCGCGACACGGCGTTAATTATTCGCACGAGTGCTGATATTTGGCTTCTTCCTCGGCTCGATTTGCAGTTGACGCGGCAAGATTTGCATGAGACTTGGTTCTCTCTGTCCGATTTATTTTCGGGAAGATGGAAAGGGGCGATCTTCGCGCGGTCACGTTCGCTGAAAGATGGAATCTGCGGAGATCTCCCGCTGAAGTCGCAGCGAAAGTTTAATCGCGCGAGAGCAGTCCGATTTCGCCTCCGCGGAGAGGCGAATTACCTTCGCTCGCGGGGAAGAACCGGCGCGGCGCGTACAATTTCGCTGGCTGAAACCGAGCTCCAAGAAGCTCGGGATCCGCTCGGGGTATTGCTCAAGTTGTTGCACCGATAAACAGATGGACGAACGCGTCGCCGACGCGAGGAGACGTACGTTTCGACAGTCTCACAAATAACAGGGGGAACACAGCGGCGCGCTTCCAAGTTATCGCGAGTCTCACTTCCACGGCGGTTTCAGCGTAACGCTTGACGCTTCCGCCGCAAAGACCTGTCGTGTGAAGTTACATAAATCGACGGATTATAAGTATACCGTTCCCTCTTATTTTTTATCGACCGTTCGCTCTCCAGAGCATGTCGATTATTATCATTATTATTATTGCTATTTTTATCTTACTGTTACTTCTATTATTATTTTCACGGTCGTGTATATTATTTCGTCACACTCGCACCGAGTGAGGCTTCCGCGATCGCTCCTGCGGAACTCGCGGAACTTCCGCAGCTCTGCGGAAGCGATGTTTGCTCGCACGGGCAGGTGTCTGGCGCGACGCGACCAAAGTTGTTAATTGTTCACCGCCGCGCGATATATTAATTCGTGCTGATCAAATATTTGCCCGTTCCAGGCGGTCGTGCATGTCGCTCTTCAAAATGTCGCTCATGACTCAAGGCCGCTCGCGCGACCTCGGCTCGGCGACTCGCGAAGAAGGCGCGAAGAATTCCTTCCTTCGTCTCGCGCGACTCGAGAGACGCGAAATCGCCAGCGGCGGAGCCGCGCATTTTCTGTCAGAATTTTACCCGTCGAAATGGCCGCTTTTCGAGCGCGCATAATCGCGCGTATTACGCTCGCTACCGCGAATTTTATCGGCATCGTCACGCCGACGCGATCGGCACGATCTATACATCAGCGACGTCCCGCAGCGGAATGTATTTATCGCCGAGCCGCGGCAGCATATCTCATTATTTTAATGTAGCTCGCGAATCACGGATGCACGGCGTTATTCAAGCGCGCATCGGCCGTAATTAGTTAATGAGAGCCCGTGGCAAGATCGATCCGATCGATCTGCCGACACGCGGCAACGAGTTCTGCTGCCGCGTGGATCGTTGCGTTTCCTTGAAATGAAAAATACGTCAGCGGCAGCCGTTTTTCTCTCTTTATTATGCGTAATACCGCATTTCCATTTGCGAAGAGCGCCGTTCTTCATGCTATTCAACCGCCGCTCGGGCTTTTGCAATCGCTAATTGACATGTATCTGCTGTGCATTGCACATCAGTTCGTTCTGATCTCTCTCTCTCTCTCTCTCTCTTGCTTTTTCCTTGCGTTATTTTTCCTTTGTTATTATATCTTATTTCTTGCGATACAGCTGGCACTATCGACACTTTTAACCGTGTCTTTTTCGCACTTTGTGTTTTGCAGGGGAGATGTGGCCTCGTTTCTGGAGTTGAAACCGCCGCGCCGGCTGCGAAAATCCGTGGGCCCGCATCCGAAGTCGATCACGAAAAAGTAAGGGTCACTCGCTTAAGGATCATCCCGCGCAATCATCCTCGTATTTTCGCTAAAAAAAAAAGCGAAGCACGAGAGACTGTTGAGTCGAGCCGTGCCTGAAGAAGAGAAAGAAATAGAAAGAAAGAAAGGAACGAGAAGAAGTCGAAAACCTGACCGATAAGATACGGGAGAGAACCGTAAGACGAAGGAAATACTGTCACTGGAACGAGAGTGAAGGGGTGACAGAAGGAAGGAGAAAGAGGGAAAGCAACACATACACACGTAGTAACATACAAAGTAACATCGTGTCTATATCTGTCGTTATTGTTTTCATTTTTTTTTTTACATATCGCACTAGTCTCTAAACTTTGAAGAGAAGGAAAGAAAAAGGTGAAGGAAACGATTAAACAGACCATACGCTCACACTCACCCGGTAATTCGCACAACGAGAGAACAAGAGAGGGAGGAGGGGAAGAGAGAGAGAAAAAGAGAGAGAGAGAGAGAAAGAGAGGGAAGAGAAAGAAAGAGATAGAGAGGGATTAATCGCAGGGAGAAACGCGCCGAAAAAAAAAATTAAGAACATGGCCATGGTCTCGACATGCTCCGTTTTGACGTATCGCCTGCTGAACGCTGCACTCCTCCTCACGTTCCTCATCGTTCTACAAAGCTCTGCCACTGTCGCGGACGAGCCGGGCACGACGAAACCGCACCCGTGCTCAAGGTAAGTGCCTCACAAATGAAAAGCAGCGAGCGAGCGAGTTTCAGCCCCTAAAATTGAAACAAGCTGGGGGCGTCGGGAAAAGCGCCACCGGCCGCCTCCGCTTTGCATTTCCCGTATTCGGCGATTCGGCCGACTCGTCGAGCGATAGACAGCAGCGAGTCGCTTCGTTAATTTATCAACTGACATTTAGCCATTGAAGCGCAATTAACGTTATCTGCAGTTGCATAACACAACGCGCGCGCGCGTGTGTCATCGGTCTATTCGTCTTCCGCGCCGCTGTTGTCCGTCGTGCCTTCCGCGACGTTTTCCGAGGGCGACAGAGAGAGTCGCCCTGAGTCTCCTCTCGGCCGACTCGACGTCGTCGTGATCCTTTTGTCTCGTCCTCGCGGCCATCCGCGCGGTCTGCGGAGATTCGCGCGCGAGCGAGCGTGTCTCGCCAATGGCTGTTTGGATTGTCTCTCCTTTTCCTCCTTGTTTCTCGCGTTCGGCACGTTCAATTCCCGCCCGGCGGAACCATCTGTCTCCATCAGCGCGCGAGACGGTGCGAGACGCGGTGCGGACGTCGACGTCGTCGCGGCATTTATCAGCGGCGTCGTTGTTGCAAAATGTAACGAGGCGCAGCGAGGTCTGCGAGGTTTCGGCTCACGAGGACGCCAACGTCCGTTCAGCGGCGCGGTTACGTAGCGTCGGCGATGCGCGACGTAACATCGCGGAATTTCGTATCACAGTAATCGCACGCGTTCGCCCACCGGTGGTCGTAGTCTCTGCGGAAGCGGATTAACGCGGGGTTAATCGCTCGGCGAGCCGGACGTCGGGCATCGAGGTGATCTCGCTTGCGGGAGGTCGCGCGCGCGCGCGTTGCGCAACGAAGGAAAAACACTAATGAGAGTCGATAACGGGCATTTTGGCGGGTGCGGGGGGGGGGCCTTGCCTCGGCGCCGCTGCGCCTCGTCGGCGATACTCGATCCGCCGGGAACGCGTCGCCGCGAGTGATGCCATATTTGATGACCGAGCGCGAGAGACTCGCGTCGTGCGACTCGATTTGCGAGTCACAGCCACCTCGTGACGTCATGTTGCGTTTCCCCCGGTCGGTCCAAGCACCCGGACGAGAGCGTGCTCTTCGCCGACGCGAACACGTGGTGCTCGCGCGCGCGCGGAGAAGCTGGGGAATTAGCGGCGGTCCACTCTCAAAGGCAGCTCGTCGACCGGCTTCTCGAACTCATCGCCTGCGTCTTTCGCACGTGAAGCTAGTGTTTTCTAATTCTAATCGCGCTCGTTATCGTCGTCGTCGCTATTTTTCCTCGAGCGATAATACGTTCGAAGAATAAATTGCAGATTCGCCCGGCGCGCCGGGAGAAAGAAGGAAAAATGTGTGGGGGTTTTCCGGCCGCCTCGCGGCGGCGCTCAATCCTCGCGGCACGTTCGCGTCTCGGTGACGTGCGCTAAGGAATTTGTATCGCTCTCAATTGAGCGAGATTACGCACGCGGTGTTATTAAGTATCAACGTGCGCGCGCGCGCGCGCGCGGTGCAGTGTCGGGTTAGAGAAATGACCTTAGCAATGAACTTTGTCTTGCGCGCGAGCAGGCGCGTGGCGAGTTGGGCTTTAAATTAGCGTGTTCCGCAAGTACAGTGGACGTGACCTTTGCTCGCGCGCATGCGTGCGTTCGATATGCTAATATATAATAATGTAGATTCACGAGCGCATTCGCGAGAGAGGGACGCGACGATCTTCTTGACGAGACTTTTCGTCGGCCGCGTCGCGTCGCGTCGCGTCGTGTTGAATCGCCGAGACGTCTTCGCGCGAACAAAAAAGCGAGCGGAACTCGAGCCGATTTAATTGTCCTGCTAATCGAGGCTTATCTTTCTCATGCTAATTCTGCTCTAATTTTAGTCCCGGCCGCGTGTCGGTGCGTTACATTTTGAGCAAAATGTAACGCGCCGACACGATAATGCTTTATTCGCCGCACTCTTGGCGTATTCCGCGTGTCGGTATCGCGGAAAATCGCGGTTTAGCCGCTTGCGAGACTTTGACGTTGCAAAACTTATGGCTTTCCCGCGCGATAAATTGGACGATGACGACGATGACGACGACGGCAGTGCCGCGAGATAAAGATCCGCGCCGTGGATGATATCGCACCCCGTAAAGCTCTTAATAACGCGATCTTAGAGCGCGGCGTCTCGGGCTAAGGCTTAATTGACGCAAAACATATGACGTACAAGTTTGTTCGATCTGAAACGCGCGAGTGAAACGACGTCGTGACACTCTCACTTCGCCTCGCGATTTGTCGCAATTTTCCACGATTTTCCGCGAAAGGCAGCCCGAAGCAGAGCGTGTCTTGTGGCGTCTCTCATGACGAAAAACCTCATGGCGCGGAGAGACGCGACGGTGATTTTCTGAAGCGACGGAAAAGCACGACGCGGCGGTGAATTCGCCGGCGCGCGCAGTTCGAGATTCGGTAACGTATCTGGCGAGATCGAGTTGTTTCTCGACGCTTTGCAGCGTCTTGCAACGTGTTTGCCGAGCAATACAAACGTGTGTCGCGACGTGAATTAATCTACGGGGATTCGGATCGCATGACGAGATAACGCGTTCCGGATACGTTCGGTTAACAGGCGCGCCCGATGAGCGCGTGACGATGATTACAGCGATACGCGAGCGCCGAAAGCTGTTTTGCGAAAGCGTTCTCCGCGGAAACGGCGTCTCCGCTACGCACGAGTTTCCCCTGCGTCCTTCCGTGCGTTCGCAATCAAAGAGCTTTCGAGATGCGAATCGCGATTGAAGGCGCGCACGCAGCGCGCGAACTCGAGCTGGTGGAGAGTGTCGCGTCTCGTGGAATAAATTGATCCTTCCGGAGAGATCTTCCGAATGACGTCGTAAAATAAAGTAACGCAATCAGGCGAAGACCGTAACGACGATTCGTTTTCGAGGATGAACGGCGCGTCGGCGGAGGATCGAAATTTTGGACGGACTTCGGCCGAACTTCTCTCCTCACGCGCTTCTCGCCGATTTCAATCACGCTCGGCTCGGCTTTGACAATCACACTTAATCAAGCTTAATGCAGATTAAATTAAACGACAGAATCGGGGAATTTGTTTCGTAGAGATTTCCGCGGGAGAGAGAGAGAGAGGGAGGGAGGGAGGGAGCAACCTCGCGCTGAAGCGTTGGTGAGTCCGATCGCTCGATCGGACGAGAGAGAAGACCAACGTCCTTTTATAAATATTAAACGTCGCTGAACCGTCGAATGAACACGTCGCTGAATAAATCAGCGATTATCGCGCGGTCGTGTGACACAACGCGGCGTCGCGTTTGGTTGATTAATTGATTTAGCGTATAATTAATACAGAACATTGCCGGCATCACGTGCGCGCGAGCGGTCGTCTTGTGCCGCGGGCGTCTTTTCTCGATGATACTTGATAATTTTTCTATCGGCATTCGCGACGCGGTTTTTTTCCACGAGCAACTTTCCAGCCGCGCACTCCACGTCGACGTACGTGTACGAAATATCCCGAATTGCGCAATTAAACGCGCGTCGCGCGTTATTTAACAATAAAATGTCTCATCTCTTCTTCTCATTTTTCTTTCCGATCGGATCGCGAGTTAATTACGCGAAAAATATACAGAAAAACGGATTGCATCTGCGGACGGGATTTTTCAGCGCTCACGCCGGGAGAATCGGCGTGCTTATTGGCGATGCCGAATCTGATAAATTGGACGATGCGACGACCGCGCGCGCGCGCGCGCGTGTGTGTGTGTGTGTGTGTGTCGATGAAAATTTATACCGCGTATTTCCACCGAGGATCGTAGCGTACGTAGCGGAAACGCACCGCTCGCCAAGTGACGCAAGTACTGAAATACAGTCCTTTTCTCTCTCGTCTTGTCGCGTACAGACGCGCGTTCGGATAATCTCCTTTCAAACTTTCAGAACAACGCGTGCAATTTCATCACTCGGGTACGATCGTCATCGCGCACGACTTTCGATTATAAACACGCGACTTTCAGCGAATATTTCACGCGTGCGTGCGCGTCTATTTCAAGAAACCGTCGTGTCGTATAATTACGGTCTAATCTTCGTGAAAACGCGCTTTATATTTCTCTTTTTTGTTGCTCTAGCGGCAGATCAGATCATCCACGTGATTTCGTTTATATATAACGAGGAAAGAATAATGGCGCCGATCGCGGATCGCGACGTGAGCGACGGGCTTTCAGCGCGTAGGAAAAATCTGATCGCGAGCGTGCGAGCGAGTGAGACGCCGTTCCCCAGCGTTACGCGCTTAAGGACGTACGTTAATACCTCGTCTACAATAGAAGTCGTAGAATCGTAAGTCGTAGAAGTTGACCAATCATAGTCCGGTAAGAGAAAAATAATCGACCGCGATTGGTCAATTTGTACGACTTACGACTTTATGACTTCTATTGTAGACGAGATATAAGGACGACAACGAGAAACGGCACATTTTTCGAAGGAGGAGGCGCTAATCGTCGCTCGCGCATTCCGGGATTTTTGTGCCGCGCGGATCTCTCGAAAGCGATCGCCGCGAGTTTCGAAATGAGCGGGATTACGTAACTTGTCCGATCGCGCCGTGAACGAGAGTTCACATCATGACGCGATTCCCCGATTCTCCGCGGCGTGCAGTGAGCTGCTTCCTCCTTCCCCCCTTGCGCCTCGTCCATCGCAGTGTTCTTTCATTAATTGCAGTGGTCTCTGACGCACTCCACGTAAGAAACGCAAAGCGATTGCGTGTCGTATGCTTTCGGCTAGAGATTCGGTGCGAACTATTCGAATCGAATCGAATCAAATCTAATGTAATTCGATTCGAATCCGAATAATTCGAATCGAATTACATTAGATTAGGAATCAAATACATTATCGTTTGCGTGCATCAGCTACAAAACGGGCCATCTGGGCCTATATATGCTTGAACCCTTAACTCGTAATTAACTTAACCTATAATTAATAACTTAATTATAAATTACTTCAATTATTTAAATATATATTTTACTTTAAGATGATATTGCAATATCAATATTTCCTTTCATATTAAAATCTTCCATCATTATTTGCATGTTTATGTTAAATTTTTTAATGATTCGATTCGATTTTATTCGATTCGAATTCGAATTCGAATGAAATTTCGCAGATTCGATTCGATTCGACATGAAAATTCTTGATTCGCACATCTCTACCTTCGGCAAAGCCGCGACAAATGCGCTCGTCAGGCCCTTCGTCATTTTCGAGCGATCGCAGCGGAGTGTTTCGTTTTTTTCTCTTTTTCGCGAGATTCTTCGCGACATACGGTATAATTACGCGAACGCACAACTCGCTCGTGTGAGCCGCTTGAGCAGACCGTTCGTTTTATCGAGCAACGATCTAATCCATTCATCTTCGGCCCTGCTGAAGAGGTGTTTCCGGGAGCGAGCTGGGATACCGTTTCCCGCGTCCCGCGGTTTGTAGGAATAAACGAAATGTGACGTGAGGTCGCGAGATCGGAATTTTTACCGTCGTTTTAAACGTGCGTCTGACTTCTTTTACGCGCTTCGCTTGGATCCTTATCGTCGTGCTTATTATCGCTAATGAGCATGGACGATGAAGGATTCGCAGAATTGAACGCTTTTCGAAGTTCAACGCAGCGATCCCTCGAGCAGGCTTGACGCTTTGCGCTGCGATGAGAGAAGACTCCAAGGCCCAACGACATCATGCCTACGAAGATGATTAATGAGGAAAATTTTATAATTTTTTCATTTTTATTTTTCCATTCTTGAGCGTATCTTCAGTTCTCGCGAGGAACCGGTCGAGGAGCAGCGGAAGGCTCTTTTTTTCTGTCCGCCGTTCTTCGTGAACCAGCGAGCTGACGAATCGTCGCTTCCTTAAGAGACCTCTTTCAGCGCGGTGCAAAGTTCATAAAAAAGTTCACCCCGTCATTGCCAACCCATGCGAAAGAGAGACCATCGTCGTAGCAACAAGTCTCTCCTCTCGCTACAATTCCCCAAGTGTATTTTTTCATACCTGATCATGCAACTTGACTGCAGTTCTTCCCACACGTTTCTCGTCGTGTTCCAAACGCCCTTGGAATGCGTCGCGTTACAATTCGTAACTTTAAATACGTATGTATCTAATTCTTTCAATTATAATGTCCATACGTATGTGAAGTTGTAAAATTGAATGCCTTCGAAGGTGTTGAACGACATGGAACAGCGAGAGACGCGCGAGAAGGGCTCCAGCCGAGATAACACGTTCAGACCGAGGGTGCTCGCCGAGTCTCGACGAAGCCCGCACACAAACACACACACACACACACACACGCAATTCCCTGGCGTTTCCAGCGAGGTGTACTGCTACGGCGAGCTGCTGCACACGGTACAAATGGCCGCCGTGTACAAAGACTCCAAGTACTTCGTCGACATGAAGATGAAGCGACCGCCGAACGAGACGCTCGCGTCGTTCCGCGCTTTCATCAACAGCGTGGCCCATCCGCCCAAGAAGCACCAGGTCGAAAAGTTCCTCAACGACACGTTCGAGCCGGCCGGCGCCGAGTTCGAGGACTGGGACCCGGCCGACTGGACCGCCAGTCCCGCGTTTCTGCGCAGGATCGAGGACAACGACCTGCGGAAATTCGCCGCCGAGCTCAATGACATCTGGAAGATGCTGGGCAGGAAGATGAAGGAGGACGTGCGGATCAACGAGGAGCTCTACTCGATCATCTACGTGCCGAACCCGGTGATCGTGCCCGGCGGCAGGTTCCGCGAATTCTACTACTGGGACTCGTACTGGATCATCAAGGGCCTGCTGCTGTCGGAGATGCGCACCACCGTCAAGGGCATGCTCGACAACTTCGTGTCGATCGTCGACAAGCTCGGCTTCATACCGAACGGCGGCAGGGTCTACTACAAGATGCGCTCGCACCCGCCGCTGCTGATACCGATGGTGGACGAGTACCTGAAGAGCACCGATGATCACGCCTGGCTCCGGGAGAATCTCTGGCTGCTGGAGAAGGAGTTCGACTTCTGGATGACCAATCGCACCGTGACCGTCGAGCGGGACGGCGTCAACTACACGTTGGCGAGGTACTACGAGGAGTCGTCGGGCCCGCGGCCGGAATCCTACAAGTGAGTCGTCGCGATCCCGCGATCGGGCAACGATCTCGATGACGAAGACGATGACAAGGCGGATCTCTCGATGACGCGATTGGTTCGGTCTGCCCGGTCGAAACGGAGCCGCCGGGTCTGTCGTTCTGAAAAGACCCGGCAGAGTGAGTGAGGCAGGCGGGGAGGGAGGGGGTCAGCTTCTTTTTTGTCGGTCATTATTACGATTATGAAGTGGAAGCGGAAAGTTTTTTTCGTAAATTACGGAATAATCGCGGCGCAAGAGGGACACTAATTTTTATGAGACTCGCGTTATTGTGATAAGCGCGCCGCGCTTATCACAACAATTATTGCCGCATTAAGCGCCGAGGTGCTTGGCGAATTTCTTTGTTCCTTCTGTTCCGCAAATTACCCGCGCCGCGCTCTATCCGCACGATCGAATTCGTCCTCTTGGAGATCCGTTGTTCATCGCTCTCGAGCTCCGAGCTGTTTTCTTAATCTCACGACTCGATCGATCAGGGAGGACTACCTGACGGGCCAGAGTTTCCGAACCACCGAGGAGAAAGACAATTACTACGCGGAATTGAAAACGGCGGCCGAGTCCGGCTGGGACTTTTCCAGTCGGTGGTTCGTGTACGAGGGCACCAACAAGGGTAATTATTGTTATTCCCCGCGATTATTTCCCGCGCGACGAAGCGCCTCTTCCCTTCTTCCGCCTCCACCTCCTCTCTGCGTGGCTGCGTGGAGCGCGCGCGACGTTGAATGAAAACAAACATATTATATCGCGTGTGTGTGTGTATGTGTGGGTGCGCGCGTGAGACAGCTCTGATCGTCGGATAAGACGACAACTTTGTCATGACAACGAAATATGACGTGCCGTGCTAATCGCCGTGCTAAGCGCGTCTCACATTCGCGATAAAAACGAAACAGATGTCTCGCGTGCGAGTGCTGATCAATCGGAGCGATATTCTCTCGAAGCGCAGATTCCACGCGGATTAAAACGGCCATCCGGGTCTGCTGATTGTTGTTCGCTCGCGCGATTTTTCGGTCGTGATTCTTGTAATTTTTCTCTTCACACGTGTCGTACCGAGGCGATAACAATAATGACGTATTACACGCGCGCGCGGTACACTCGCAATTATTGCGCTCTTCTGTATATTCCACATCAAACGCATCGGCGTATCTTCAATGAGATCTGCGCGCGCGTCAAGGCTCTGCCTGCCTGTCGTTCGCCGAGTGAAAGCCTCGCTCGAGGCTCGGCTATACTCTAAAATTCATTCTCGCGAAATCAGGGATATCGTGGTGTGTGTGTGTGTGTGTGTGTGTGTCGGGTCGGATCCTTCGGACCGTACATTTAATTACCTCGTAACGCTCGAGGAGCACTCTCGCGCTCATCTCTACGTCGAACAAAGACATCAGACACACAAGTTGGGAGACGATCGTGAATCATCTCTCCCTCAAGTGTGAACTCGTGAAAAAAGTCGACGTTTTTGCAAGCGACGAGAAGAAAATGTTCACTTTTCTCGAGTTCACGCCAGAGGAAGAGGTCGCAAGGCTGACTGACGACGGGACGAATTCCAGGTAACTTGACAAATCTCAAGACCAGATCTATCATCCCGGTCGACCTGAATGTCATAATATATCGGAACGCCCGACTATTGGCCAAGTACAATCGTCAGACGGGCAACGAGACGAAGGGCGCGTATTACGACGACGTAGCCGAGAAGTGGAAGGAAGCGGTCAGGATTGTGTTGTGGCACGAGGAGGTGGGCGCCTGGTTGGACTACGACATAATGAACGACATCAAGCGCGACTACTTCTATCCGACCAATATCTTGCCGCTCTGGACCGACTGCTACGACACGTCCAAGAAGGCGGACTACGTGTCGAAGGTGCTCAAGTATCTTGAGAAGAATCAGATCATGCTGAACCAGGGCGGCATACCGACCACGTTGGAGCACTCTGGCGAACAGTGGGACTATCCCAACGCCTGGCCGCCGCTGCAGTATTTCTTCATCATGTCGTTGAACAACACGGGCGACGCGTGGGCGCAACGGCTGGCCTACGAGATAAGCGAGAAGTGGGTCCGCAGCAACTACAAGGCTTACAACGAGACGCACAATATGTATGAGAAGGTAATTTAAGAAGGAACTTTCGCTCGACTGCGAGAGAGAGAGAGAGAGAGAGGATTTTGCACATTTCGTCTCGCGCGCTGGGATGATTCTCGCAGAATTATGACATCGACTTGTCTGTCACTCGATTAATCGATCAGTGAATTTCGGAAGATCTTTTTGATCGAAAAGAAAAGGGTTCGATGTTTGAACCTTTTCTCTCGGATGTTTAGATTTTTTCTTTTCGTTGCAATCTGTCCGGACGATCTGTGTGTGATTTTTTTCCCATGCGGAATCCGAAGGGGAAAATTTGGTGTTCTCTGGTTCGCAGTACGACGCGACTGTCTCGGGCGGCCACGGTACTGGAGGTGAGTACGAAGTTCAGCTTGGTTTCGGCTGGTCGAACGGGGTCGTTATGGATTTGCTGGATAAGTATGGCGACAGGTTGACCGCGGAGGATTACTTCAAGCCCGGCGACGTGATCGAGAACGCGGCACCACAGCAGGTTGTCGTCTCGACAGCTGGTAAGATGCTGAGCGGGATTCTAGCTATCATCATATCATTAGCGGCAGGATTTATAGGGTGAGGTAAGTGTCGAGTCGGCGAGATGGGAGCGTTTTGAAGGAACGGAAAAGACTTGACTGCGTCATGGTTGAGTGTGTATTCTTTCATCACATCTACAATCCAAGTCTTTCCCGTTGATTGACGCCACCGGCGACGACGCATGCGAACGCACGCACTGAGAAATGTTTTCCCTCTCTGCTTTCTGTTGCAGATATCCGCAGTGATCTAAGTCAGCTAGGATATTATTCGTGAAAGGTTCGAAGAGATCGGTCGATCGGTAGATACTTCCGGTCTCGAGAGAGATCGACACCAGAGGTCGATCCGAATAATATCTTTGTCCTTCTCGCCTCGAGCGTCCAGTTTGCACGATTTTTGTTTTGGACTGGACGATCGGCGGAAGAGATCGCGTAACGGGTAAAGGGACCAAATAGAAGCAAGTGCGGGCACTGATCTTCTTACGGATACTTCTAAGAGACTCCGAGTACGCACGCGAGGGAGCCTCGAAACGACGAGCGTCGTGTTTTTTATTCTTGCCACACGTGCTTCCAAAGGATATTTCATAAGTCGCAGGATAATACGTACATACACATATACGAGTATTATACACATATATATTTTTTAAGGACATTTCTTCGCCGAGAAATTACGCCGTGATACTTTGAGTATTATTCCTTGCAGAAGGGGCACGAATCTTCTTCTAATCTAATTGACGAATCTCTCATTTTCTTTCGCCTATATGATCCCTTTCTTATTCGCGATTTTATGCTCGATCGAAATCTCCGGATTAGATTAGTCGGGGGACTGTGTGATGCTGCCAGGTATGTTTTACAAACGTATCGCAACGTATGCTTTCCTCTCTTCAGGGATCTCCTCGTGGCCCTTCTCGTTGACGAATAGCGTAGACAGGATTTATCATTGTCTGACAATCGTCGTTTAATTACTTAATCGTTCCATCAGACGTGCGCTGTCGCGAAAGACGTTTCTGTGATCATTTGAACGAACTACTTCGCTGGTCGAATTACGTTCATAGCATTCTCCTTCTCGCGGGAGCCTACACGAGCTACTCTTAGGCTGGCTCCAGATCTGAGAGAAGTCGACGAATTCTCGAATTTAGCCGATGCCGACGCGACGAGCCGACGATGTACGTTACTTCGTATTGAAATTAGCTATTTCGCTCTTTCGAATATTGTATTACTAGTATTATTAGCTGTTAGATAAATTATTACGTCGCACTTGTATATACATATACAAAGCCGAGGAGAGAGAGAGAGAGAGAGAGAGAGAGAGAGAGAGAGAGAGAGAGAGAGAGAGAGAGAGAGAGAGAGAGAGCGAGAGAACCGACATCTCTCGTGGAGGATACATTCCGCACAGGAGATGACGACAAGTCGGACAAACGAGTTCCTCGTGTGAGCGAAAAGAAAGACGAAGGACCACCGACGCTTTCGGCGGAATTAGTCACGGATCAACAGAAATGTAACGAGAGAAAGATTCCGCTCCTCCTCATTCTCCGCAAGAAGAGCGGACTCATCTAGTCAGTTATGCGTAGTTAGATGCGCCTAGCTAGCTTACTTTTACGAATCCGCAACGGCGACATCGAAGATCGCGCGGGGCTATCGTCGCTGTCAACCTCGCCACCGATAGACCTCGGGAATCCCCCCGTCCGTCGCTCGAAAAGTACCTTAACGCACGATCCCGGACCAGTGAGTCGACGGTTGGCATTGAGCGTTGAACGCGAGCCGAAGAAGAGCGGTGATAACGCTGACGGATGGACCGGCGATGGGCTAGTTGATAACGCTGCCGTCGACAGCCCGCAGTGACAAGGATAGTCCGCCTCCGATTCGAGCGGATTGTCGCCTAGACGCGTGTTAGCAATTCTTTCTTGTCCATTCGCGATTCAGCCGCCTCGCGGCAAGTCGCAGCAAGCGCGGCCTCGACGCACCGATAATATATATACGTACACTTATATAGCGAAATATATATTTAGGAAAAGGTAGAAAAAAATATAGAAAGAGAGAAAGAGATACCATGATCTCGCAAACTGTCCTGTCGCGCCCATTCCTCGGATCGCGCTGAGAGTAGATTCTCCGATGAAGAACGAGACACGTATTTTTACGGGAGAAAACTCGAGGATTGCGACAGTCCTCGAGGAGAGAACGCAGAAATGTCGAGCGCGAGCTCGCGTATACGTGTCTCGGCAGGATTTTGTATAATTTATTCGCGTTTATCGAATCGCTCTCCAAGCAGGATCGGCAAATCCGCCGATTAATTAGCTTTGTATCTCTGCATTCCGAACGATATGCACCGGCTCAGTCGACGTTTTTTTCTTTTTTCTTTCCCCCTCGTCGCTCTTTGCACCTGTTATACACCGTCGGTGTAGACGAGAGTCTCTCAGGCATAAGGCATGCTTGCGCGAGGTATGTCGCGCGATGCGAACCGTACAGTAAAGTCGACGCGAGTGTCCGCGCGACGCATGCTCTCCCCGCATCCGAGTCCACCTCCTTGGGCGATAACTATCAATAAAATAAATAAATCGAAGTGTCCATGTAACACCCGTCCTTTCAACAACGCACTTCCACCGAGGCGAGAACGTCATGCATGCACGCAGGCAGGTAGTGACCGTGCTCGTTCTCGTTCTCGTTCGTATTAACGACATTAACGTGTTAGAGAAAGACGTCCCAGACGCGTGCGCTCGTTGGAACTAGATCGGCTAAGATATATAGCAAATAGAGACACTTCGTTCCGTTCCGGGAGGTTTGGTAAGTCCGTGTCTTGCTGACGCGCAACCGGATGTGTCGGGGGAATGGGGGACGTTATATATATATATATACTCGCGGGCCGACTTTGTTAATACAGTTTGTACAGTTACACTTGTAGCTATAAGCGAAAGGCAACCCAGCAGTCGATCGACGGCGTCGCTGAGGTAAACGTAATTTTGCGTGGCATTGCGTGTGGATGGACATGCGATCCTCGGCGAGAAAAGAGGAATTGATTGTTTGGATTCGAGGACGAGCGTTGAGAAACATGATAGTATTGGTAATAAAACGTTAATGACAAATTATATGCGAATACACTGATATTTTTAAGCGAAGCATTCGCGCGCGCGCGCGCGCGAGAAAGAGAGAGAGAGAGAGAGAGGGAGAGAGAGAGAGAGAGAGACTGTCGATGAGCCAAAGATGTTTGTTGCTGCTGCGACTCTCGATGGAATACGGGATATTCAAGTCCTCTTCGTTGTTGCAGTAATTATCATTCCACAAATGGAAGTTTTCGTCTGCGCGGCGGCGGCGGCGAGCGCACCTTCGACGGTGCTTAGCCTGCCGTCAGAGTAATTACGCAGATAACAGTCAAGCCCGTAATGACTATACAGGATGATCTAAAAGGCGCGTACCGGCGGCCGGAGGATTCCAAGCAGGCTGTAAGACGGGTACGGGCGAGTGAAGAATTCAGGAAAAGGAGGAGAAAAGATGGCGAAAAAATATACAAGCCTCCACGAGAGAGCGACGAGAAAAGACCCCTCCTCCGTGAAAAGACACGGCTCTGAGGACAGTCCCTTGTCGGAGCAACACGGAGATCCAAATACGTTGGAGCTCCCGTTGATTCGCTGGCGTCCGCTCCGGCAGGATACTTTGAGGCGCGCCAATTAGCCAAGGTCCGGCGGCCAGGTTTCGTCGAGTACAAAAACGAGTTTCATTTCTCCTGAGCTACGGGGAGTACCCGGGGAGGAGAGGTACATGTCGGCCTTCTCCGACTCTTTGGAGTTTCGGTCTCTAGGCTCGTCACTACGTGCTGCGACAACGCGCTGACTGGCGCAACTGGTCGTGATGCGACGAGGCTACTGGCTCCGTGTAGCATCGGTACCACTGAAGGTGGTGGAGGTGTCGATATAACGTGCTGTGCAGCGCGCGCGCGCGCCAGCCACGAGCACGTGGCGCAGAGAAAGAGGAGGAAACGAATGGCCGCCGGTGGAACATATACACGTGATGTAGGCGTGCCTGCATTCGCTATTCAGGCTTTTTGCGAGAATTCCCGTCGACATTAGATCGCGCGCTGGCTCAAGGACCGACCGCCGCGGCCGATCCGCGTATCGATAGAGATACGCGCGATAGAATTCCGCAACGAGCGAGAGGCGCGGACGGAGGCGCGCGGATGAAAACGAGGAACGTGAGGGATTTCCGAGCGGTAGACGCGCTCGAGCCGACGTTTCTCGCTCGTAGCTTCGCCTTGAAGGAGACGAATCGACGCGAGATGGGGGAGGAGAATGATCGGGGAACTGCGGCCGGTGCAATTCCCGCGTGTTCCGATAACGCGTCGGTATCTTGCTCGCACGGTGATAAATAATAAGTCGCGCGATAACGCCCCGCCGATTCCTCGGACAGCTCTGCGATAATCGTCCGACAGGAACCGGCAAAGTGTTGTCTGAGCAAAGCAGAGGCGATTTCGCAGGAGCGGATAACTCCCTCGAGACCTCGAGATAATCGCGAGCGAAGCGTCTGCTCGCTCGGGATTATCGTGACGAAGCGACACGTAGATGGACGATTTATCACACACCTTTATAGTTTCCGGGAATCGGGTATTTTTACTCTCACGACACACGATGATCCTCGTCTTTCATAGATCGCGAGACTCACTATTGTACACGCGAAGAATTGTATCGTCGTTATATCGCGGTGCCCCCCCGCGGCTCGCGCGTCCCGTTAGTCGAGGAAGCGACCGCAGATCGTGTGAACAGCGTCTCGATTCACTGATTGTTTCTTCTTCTTCTTCTTTCGCAGGATGGTGGTTTACAAGAGACGGCAGTACTACGCGCCGGGGCCGTCGACGATGCCGAACCAGAGGAAGATCGACCTGTCGAGCGGCGGCAACCTGTTCCGCAAGCGGATCGCGTACACCGAGCTGAAGGACATGAACAGCGATTGATGATCGCTCGTTGTCTAGACGGTCGATTCGCTTAATTGACTAGTGGACGAAGGTAATGCACGCGCTCCAGCGCGCGTGCGGACGGACGTGTCGAGGAAAGCGAAGGAGGAGGAGGAGGAGGAGGAGAATGCGCTAAGGCAGGATGGTGCGAGGACGTAGCGCAATCTCGGTGTAATCGTGCAGGATACAGCTGCCTCGCAGCTGGAAGAGAACGAGACTGACTGGCGCGCGAAAATCCCGGTGGAAGATCAAGGTGGTAGGAGAAGGCGGCGCGCAGCGCAAATGTTCAACGAGGGAACGGCACGCCACGGCGTCGCGTCGTGGCAAGGTTTTCCAGCCTACGAAAATGACGAGCACTTCCGGTCGAGACGCTCGCTCGACCGCGCCTTGAAGACAGAGAGAGAGAGAGAGAGAGAGAGAGAGAGAGAGAGAGAGAGAGAGAGGAAGTATGACCAAAGAAGAGAGTCTCTTGACTCTGACTCTCGCTGCTTCCGTCTGATCGAACGCTCAACGTGCGACAAGGAGAAGAGCGTAGGACGATAGAAATTGCGCGATTGAAGGAAAGATGCGCCGGGATGCGTAGATGAACGTAATGCGGAAGAAAAGAGCGCGCGGTCCGACACCGAGACAAGCGATCTAGCAGGATTCTAGTTGTAATTCGTAGGGGCGTTTGAACGCCGAACGGTGGATTAATGGGATTTCGCTCGTCGCGTCGTCCGAGACGGGTGTGCAATCATAGTAGAAAGTTCAAAGTTCTCTCGAATACAGGGGGAAATACAAGGGGACAAGTGACTGTTGAGAAGAAAAAAGCTGCGGCGGTAAGGCCGATGGACTCTACTATTTAGCGGATATTGGTGACTACGAAGGGAAAAAATGGTGTGTATGTGTGTGTGTGTGCGAGTGACAATGGAAGAAAAGGCGTGTTGTATGTATGTGTGTATGGATGTGGGCGTGCAATTTATACTGGAGGAACATTGTCGGATATTTTGCAGGATATTTTGCAGTGTGGAAATAATCACTATAAATAGATAAATAAATAAATAAATAAATATGTATACTATACTCTCTCTCTCTCTCTATATATATATATATATATATATATATATACACACATATATATATATATAGATATATATATATATATGTAATGAAATATTTATTTATTTATTTATTTACTTATGTATATATTTCTATTACGTAGGTAAATGTAGACAATTGACGATACTATACAGATAAATTATTGACGAGAAATGTTGTATTTTTGCTGATATTTTTATAAACGAGTACGTGTATACGTTTATTAGCGTTATCGACGATCGCACCGAACATGCGCAGGATAAATCGCGCGCGCCGCGTATGACAGTTTTAGCCGTCATTCTTGAGACATCGTATTTCGCGTCGACATGTAGTGACTTTGCGATGTGTAAAGTTGGTTGAAAGTTCCTTTTGCCGATTCTTCGAAAGAGCTTTCACGCGCTCAACTAGTTTTACTCACCGACCGGAGAAGCAGCCATGATTTCGCGATATTTATGTTTTTGATTTAGCATTAAAGTGAGGCTTTTTTTCGTAGACAACAGATTTATCCTAAAGGGGAAGGGGAAGAGAGAAAGAGAGGGAGGGAGGGAGGGAGAAAGAAAGATGCCCCGGAAGATCGTGACGAATGTGTATCTCTAATTTGCATTTGCACGTGACACCGCTCTCTGTCGTTACGCGTTGCTTCCTCCGCTCGCGGAGGAACGGCGATTCTACTATATATATAAATAGCGTGCCTGGCGCCATGCTTGCTGTGATCCTTGCTCTTATTGCCGTCTGCCATAATTTTAGACTGTCCATCATGCCCGCGCGGTTGCGCGGATCACAGCGAGCGGAAGTGAGCCAAGGGATACCGATAAGCACGCGATTCTCGCGGACGAAATAACGTTGCGCAACGATCAATCGGCCGATCGGAAAAAACCGGTACAGTGTCGTTTGTTAATAGCCTGCCACCACGGCTATCAATCGCCGTGACGATCGATGCCGAGTATCAAGTAGGATTTAGGTTTTACTTCGTTTTGTTAGTATTATTATTATTATTATTATTATTATTATTATTATTATCGTCATCATTATTATTGTTATTATTATTATCGTCATCATTATCATTGTTATTATTATGTGTATATTTTCAAGGAGGCAGCTTACTGAATGGTAAAGCGTCTCGATTGAATGAATCATCGTTTATTAAGTAACGACGACGATAGTCTGTGAAGGACACATTGTAGAGCTTTCATTAGCCGCGAATGTCCGCCGTAGATAATCAGATGCGTTGTTTTCATTTCTTGAACTATGTCAATCAGATAAATCTCTTGATATTATATCGGATCGCCAAGCGTGGGTCAAGTGCATCGAGTCGCTTTGTAGCTCACTTTCGTAACTTTCTTCGTCCTTCGTGTTTACATGTAATTGTGCGAATTGTGAACGTGATGTCAACGTTGAGGATTATCGACTCGTGATTCATGATGCGTTACTTTGATCAAGTGCCAAGGAAGAAATATTGCATTGTTTTGTCGTATTATTATTATTAGAGATTATTATTATTATTATTATTATCGTTGCTATTGCGAAAATTATCGTGGAGTGACTCGGTGCGATGGAATACGGTGCGCTGAAAATTGCTGATTCGCGACGAATTTATCTTGTTACGAAGTCAGGAGCTGCCTTTCGAAATGTCCTCGTTCTATCGGCGTCAGCGAGTCGATGAACCATTCTCCTCGCAATCGTTCGCATTCAGAAACCGAGGCAAGAGAGGCCATATATGAAGAGACAGACACACGGTCTTGATTTTACACGCGTTGATTTTATGCCGATCGCATGATGCCGGCGTTTGTGTAAGGAGCATCGAGTCTCAAAGTTCGAAGAAATGTCCCTCGTGTGATGGAAGGAGACGCGCAATCTTAAGCGGGAGCGTTCCTATATTTTATACGCGCGTAAACATGTGCGTGAAGGAAGAGCGTCGATCTTTTGTTGGTTGACAAAAGCAGTATTAGCAGAGTACGCGCGGAAGTGATTCTGCCGAAGGCACGTGTCATTGATATCACGGGAAACGACGCAACGCGCGAGTTACTCGCGCGTTTAATAGCGATTATTGAATTTTATAGCGAGTAGAATAGCCCCTTTAGGAAGGTCCGCTGACAAGACGTTATATTCAACATCGAGCGTGATATATGAGAAATTCGAATCGTGATCCGTGGCTTAGATGACTAAAGTTTTTCACGATTTCATAAAGTCTGGTGAGAGAGAAAGAAAATTTATTATTATGTTTGATGCGATCGCCCGGCCGAAACTCGTCAGGTTTCATCGAGACCGGAAGACGAGATTATAGTCGAGCCATCTTAGATGGCAAACTGATCTCTCTTAAGTCCGCTCTTCGTAAGTTTCTTAATCTTGAGAAATTTCCAAAGAGTGAAGTAAGTCGATCTGACTGACTTCCGCGAGAGACCTCGGTGGTCATCATCGATAATGCGTGCGCTACGGGGATAAAAATTGCAGCCGCGCGATAAACACGTGCGATCGACGAAGAACGATCGCGAAACTCTTATACATCGATTGTAGATAGTATATGAATTATATATATATATATATATACATATATATATACACGATACGTACATACACTTCGATAATTGTGATACTTGGAAGTAAGTAGGTACGTTTACTCGCTGTTCTCTACGTTGTATCGAGCCTTTCCTCTTGATCCTCGCGTCGCCCTGGTCCGATGAACGCGACGAAACCTCCTCCTCGTGGAGCCAGCCTTGTGTTCGACACACAAACGACCGGTCAACAACGCGCGCGCGACGCGATAGTTAGAGAATAATTTATTGAGCATTCTGTACAAAGATCACACTCGCCGCCTGTACGATTTTCTCGCGCTCATCTCCCCCTCGTAGAAAGAGGAGGAACAAAAATGTTGTACATATATAAATACGTTTTTTCTCATGTGTATAAATACATAATAATATATTTATGTATGATTATACATGCGTTCAGTGCCTTCATCAACGTCACAGAGCGTCTTTTAGCGCGCGTGAATTACATTAGAAGTTCGTATCTCTTGCGAATAGCCTCACTGCGTGCTTCTCTCTCTCTCTCTCTCTCTCTCTCTCTCTCTCTCTCTCTCTCTGTAGTTACGTCCTTATCATCGCAAACCCATGAAAAGATCGCGCTTGATCACGAGGTAAGTGATGCTACTGTGCGCTCGACTAATGAATTACCGTCGCGCGAGTGAAAATGACACGTGACACACACACACATGCGCGCGCGCGCGCGCACACATACACACGTACACATACACGCTTTTTTGTGTGTAGATGATTATTTGTATTTGTACACAATACTATATATAACAACAAGGAAAAATACTGAATGAGAAACAGATGCCTTATTTGGTGTATCACACGGGCGCAAGCCAGAAAACCATGTCGCAATATATAGAGCATCTATTTGGTTGACTATACAATTTAATACTCGTTACTAGCGGGGAAAAACTCTCTCTCTCTCTCTCTCTCTCTACGTTACTACCTAAACAAAACGTATCCTCGGACCTCTTCCCTTGCGCGCAGTTTCTTTAGACATATTACACTTTACGAATACATACGCACGTTACACAAATATAAGTGGAATATTACTATTTATTTTATACAATACTTGTTGAATTTTTCTTCCTCTCTCTCTCTCTCTCTCTCTCTCTCACACATACACACATACATACATGGGTACATACACTCTATCTCTCTTTTCACACACACACAAGACGAGCGATCTTCGTCCCTTGCGCGTCGCAGACACTCGTTATCAGACGAGTCGTAACTCGTGGAAGGAATCGCGATCTACGATTAATTAAGTAGGTAGGTAGGTAGGTAATTGGGTAATAGAGTAGTAGTGGATAGTATACTGGCTCTTCGTCTTGTGCGAATTTTATGCGATTCGAATTTCCCTTGCGATATATAAGTCATAGAAAAATATAGATTGCATATCGCGAAAAAGGTCTACTCCCGATAATAATATCCGTCTGTCGCGGCTGGACTTTCACGTTTAAAGACTTTCATTTAGATTTTTATACTTTCGACAATCACCGTTTATACGTTATTGTTCGGACGTTTTCGTATCGAACAGCGCGTTCTCTACTCTTCTCCTCTCCTGTCTCCTTCCCTCTTCTTAAGTGAGGCAGCCTTAAGATGTATGTGTCGTTTGTGAACTCGAGAAACGCGTGTATATCAAACTAATCGGGCAAATCGCGTACGAGTGTAGAAACTAACACGAACAACACCACATATTACACATTATACGAGAGGGTTAATTAGTCTAGATGTTAATTTCGTAACGGCGCATTCGGACACGCTCGATTTACCAAACGCGTAGTAAAACCGCGCGTCAACTCTCCAGAAGCAATCTCCGTCGTGTCGGAGGAAAGGGATGCGGTCGCGAAAAAGTATACAAGTCCACGCGTCGTCGTATAAAACGGAGGAGGCTTCAGTCTAAGTCGCTAAGTGTGTTGCTACAAAAATTTCGGCAGAATACAGAATATCGCTAAAGCGGAAAAGAATTCTTACATCTTTCAGCGGAGCACCGCGGGGGACTCGTTTGTTCTTTCTTTCGAGCGCCGCGGAAAATGAAACTCCGAAAACAACACCGTGGAAGATTAGCCGCGAGATCGCGTCTCGGCTTAAACGATAGTAAATACAATCCTCTAACGAGAGTGCCTACGAGACAGAGCTAAAACACAACAGCACAAGGCGCGTCTATCGCACAGAGTGAGCAACGTTTCGATCGGTAAACGAACGGACGAAGCCGAACGAACCGGCGAACGTTCGCTCGATCGACGCGGCATTCGGCGTCCAGCGGGAGCGGGGCGAACAAAAGGTACGAAGTGAAAATGAAAAGGAAAGAAACGGGGGAAGACGAAGTATCTGAAATGAACGCTTTGGTGCACAGATATACATCCGCTCGTTGGTCACAATCGTTTCCCGGGATAAAAGTGACGCGTTAGTCTCCTCTTCCCATCTCTCCGCGTGTACACAGGTTGTTATAAATAGCCGCCTAATATTTTACGGTGTAATAACTCTAGAATAAATATCTATCACAAAAGGCTGGTCTAATATATATATATATGTATGTATATATGTTGTGTATATATATATGTAGAGGTGGCTTTTGCGCTTCGTCGTAGTAATAACGTCCTCGCGGCCGCGCATGCGCGATCGCGACGGCTGCGTCCGCGGCGAACGCGCGCTCTAACAATAATACTAATAGTTACGGTAGAACCTTAAAGTCTAAACTATTTACAAGTCGCATCTCAACCGACAACGACGACTCGTCCGCCGCTATCGCGCGTCGGCTTGACGCGAGTCGCGTCCCGATAATAAATACGGTGACGTGTTCTGTCAATGTGTGTTCTTCGTTTATCGCTCTTATCGTTTCCGTTGTACTTGCGCTGCGCAGCGACGCTCGTTCCAATTTCCTCGGAATTGTCGCTGCTATTTCTGTCTCTTTTTCTTTTTTTTCTTTCTTTCCTTTATACCCCGCTGATCCGCGCTGAGCTCGCGAGATACTCGATCGATATCGAGCGAGTTCGCGGGCGCGTTCCGCGCGCGGATCAAGGTCCTTGCTCCTTAATACTATTACCTACATCTGGTTGATTTACACGACTTGCAGAATATTTGTCTCGTGTTAAGGACACTAGTCGTTCGTCCAAATACTCTCTCTCTCTCTCTCTCTCTCTCTCTCTTTCCGTCTGCTAGCGAAGAATCTTCCTCCGCACTTCCGCCGCCGCGTGAACGGCGGCAAACGTGGTGCGAACGCGTCGGCTCGTCTCGTTCACACGAATCCGTGCGCGTCAGCCCGGCGCTTCCGTTTGTTAGACCGCGGAGTCTGCGTTCTCGCTCTCATGTCGCTCATGATTCGTGTAGCGCAGAAGGGGATCGTCGACGTTTATGGTTTCCATCTCCTCCTCGTTGTTGGCAGAGCTCGTCGCGACCTCCTCTGATGAACGTGACAATGCAACATTGTTGCCTGAATATTATTATATAACGACGGCGATGACGTCACGATGACGTTCACAGCGATACTTACCGGGTAAGCACAGCTGCAACTGATCGTTGCTGGGATTGGTACTGTCCCCGGTGCCGCTGTCCTTGCTGTGCTGCGAGCTCGTGTCCAGGTACAGTTGCGTCTGCGCGTCCGGCACAGTCAGGATGACGGTGGTGGTCGGTTGCGCCGCATTGCTTTGCGTGGAATTGAGCCGCCGTCTGGTCTGGTAAATGATGACCACCCAGATGATGGACGTGCCGACGGCGCAGCACACCACGGTTATTATTATCAAGCCCAATATGTCGTCCTCGTTCACCACGGCAGCCGGAGCTGAACGGCAAGGAGAAACAGACACGGCAAGCCGGATGAGCGAGATGGACGACGTGCATCCTTCGCGCTTGTTTCACAGCCGGTTGTCAACGAGCCCTAATTACCTGGATTGACCGTCAGATGCGACACGTCGACGACGCTGCCCAGCGAGTTGCTCATCTCGCACTCGTAACTGCCCGCGTCGCTCGCTATCGTGTTGACGATGATCAACAACTGATCCCTGGCGGTGAAGAAGTGCCGCTCGGTCGCCTGCAACGGGCTGCCGTTCTTCCGCCAGGTCAATTTCGGCCGCGGCGAGCCGCTCGCCATGCACTCGAGCACGATCGAGTCGCCGACCATTATCTCCTTGTTCTCCATCGGCTTCACGAACGACGGTTTCTCTGCAAAGCGCAAAACCGTTTTTTTACAATTCTAGGAAGTCCCGAGAGGCAAAGGATGTGCAGGAGGAATGCTTCCTCACCTAATATCGTAAGAGTGGCATTCGCCACGATGAGACCGGCCAGGTTTTGCGCAGTGCACGAGTAAACGCCGCTGTCGGCCATTTTCACATCCACTATGAACAGCACGTCGTCCGTCGGCATCATGTGCATCCGTCTCTCCCTCGCCGCTGGGAAATCGTTGCCGCCGTCTTTCTGCCAGGCAATCTGCGGCGACGGCTGCCCCTCGGCTGAGCACTCGAGCCGCGCAGTTTTGCCAGCAGTCACTCGTATGTCATGCGGGATCTTGGAGAAGGACGGATAAACTGGAAGCCGAAGAAGAAATTACTCTTACTATCGCTATTTCACACGCTAGTACCATCCATAGCAAGTATACAAAGTATGTGTGTGCGTGTAACAGGGGGTGTACTTCTTATCGATAATATAATCGAGTCTGTCCTTTTCTTCGGCTGAACTAATGCTGTAATGTTTTTGTTTATCCATTATTCTTCGTTTTATTCTATATTTCCGCAATCTTTATCTGCTATATTTCACTCCGCGTTCCTTCACTTTCACAAAAAGGCGAAGGTTGCGGCAAGCCGCAGTCTAGTTCAGCTAAAAAAAACAACAGACCGGTGTGATGACAACGAACACCTTCGTTATCATCGTTACAACTTACTCAACACGCTCAGCGTGGCTTTGGCGGAGTACGTGGTGCCGTAATTGTTCGTCACCATGCACTGATACTTTCCCTGGTTAGCGTGGGTCACGTTGATCAGCTGCAACGCAGACGACGCCTCGGTCACTCCGCTCGCGGAAGAGCCGGCATTGGTTTGCAGAATCGCGCTGTCCAGCTCAACGTTGTCGTGCTTCCACGTGAAATGCAGCGGCGCGACGGCGGTGCTGGTCGCGCGGCAAACCAGCGTCACGTTGTCGCCTTTGATGCTCATTTGGCTCACGGGCTCCTCGATGATCCGCGGCTTCGGGTACTCGTCTGTGTTTCATAGTTTCGTTTAGTGTTACGTTTCACGAACTTTACCGGCTAGGGCAGTTTGATGACTGACCGCAAGTGAAGTTCGCATGGTGCAGTTGGGTCAACGACATTCCCTGCAGCCAATGCGGATAACCGCAATGAACCTCGGCCTCGCTGTAACGATGCTCTCGCAACCACATGCTCAACCACTGAAGCCCGCAGTCGCAGACCAGCGCCTCTGTCAACGAGAAAACAGAGAACAGGTGATTGCACAAGTACACGAGCACAGACGACGACGACGACGACGACGACGCGATACATTTGGCATCCTCACGGACGCGGAGTGCGAACTCACGGGTGTTCATCTTGAGTTTGCTCAGACTAGGCATTGGGAGGAACGCGTTTTCCTGCATAGTCGTGACGTTGTTGCCGCTCAAGTCGAGTTCCGCGAGGCGAACCAAGCCGGTGAAAGCGTTTTGATTGATGGATTTGATCTTGTTGTGGGCCAAGCTCAGTTTCCACAACTGGCTGAGGGAGGAGAACGCGCCATGGATGTCCTCCACCATGTAAGACACTTTGTTCGAATTGAGTTCCCTGTGAACGAAACGGCAATCATGATACGCTGATCACAAGCGACCTTTAGCATGAAACCGAAAAAACAGCCAAGAGGGGAGGAAGGGATGCGTACAGAATGCGCAGGTTTGTCGTGTAATTGAACGCTCCGTCTGAGATATATGTGATCTGATTATGATCCAGTTTGAGCCTCTCCAGCTTCGTGAGGTATTCGAAAGACTCGCGTTCAATGGAGGTCAGTTCGTTATGCGACAAGTCCCTGAAATAAAGATCGAGGGTCCAACATTTGTCTATTAATGCATTAATTTGCGAACAACTTGTTCAACTTGAGTTAATTTACGAGTGAGTTATTGCAGTAACAACAAATAGGGGCACATCGACACTCACAGCTCCGTTATTTCTCTGCAAATGTCCCACGCTTGCGACTCGATCGTCGAGATTCGGTTGTGCGACAGGGTGAGCTTCTGCAGCTGCTGCAGCCCGAACAGGCCGCCCTTCCTGATGGTGGTCAGCATATTGAAGTCGAGCTGCAGCAGAATCAGATTCTTCAGCGGCCAAAAGGCCCCGTCGTCCAACATGCTGATCTTGTTTCTCTTCAGTCGCAATTCCTCCAGGCTCTTTAGACTCTTGAGGCTTAACCCGTGAATTTGTTGCAGATCGTTTCTATTTATCTCCCTGAAACACACGTCATCGTGCGCGTTCGCGGCGTACATTCAAAGCGTCGAAATGTAATCATTTATATCGCTCGAGGGGCGTGTTATTAAATACGTTGTTGGCGATACGTGTCAGGAGGGCACTCACAGTATTCGCAGGTTCTCCAAACTCGTGAACATGTCTTTCAGCTGTGTCAGATTGTTCTTGTTCATACGAAGCTCCTCCAGCATGGTCAAATTGTCGAAAGTCCCGTTTTCAATTAGCTTGATGCTGTTCGCGTTCAGATTGCTGCGAATGCAAAAAATATCAGATGACGCGATCGATGCGATCGGCGGACGACGGGCTCTCTCCCTTTCTCTATCTCTCTCTCTCTCTCTCTGTCTCTCAGAGCCGCCCGCGAGCCGAGGCGAGAAATACGTACAGATGCTTGAGTTGATTGGGAGCAAGGAAGGATCCTCTCTGAAGGACACTTATTTTATTTCCACTGAGATCCAGGTATTGAAGTTCTTGCAAGCTGAGCAACGCAGTCCCGTTTATATCGGTAATTAAGTTATGAGATCTGCGGGAAGAAGGAGAGCGAGCAGCGATGTTGCAGATTATCCACGGAGACGCGTCTCCGGTGAGCCGTGAGTGTGGAAGAGCAGAGGAATACTTACAGCATAAGGTGAGTGATATTCTTAACAAATACAAGATCTGGCACTTGTGTCAAGTGATTCCTGTTCACTTTGAGCTCGCGCAGTTGTGCGACGTCCGACAAGGCAATGGTGAAGTTATCTTCGAGTTTATTAGCGCTTATATCTCTGAAATCACAAGTGGGGCGGAGATAAAGTTACTCGCGTCACGGCGAAACATGTAGCTCTAGCTTCAACTTCGTATCACGGCGACCGTGTCTCTTCCGCTTGCGACCGGCGGTCGGATGCTTACAATTTTCGGAGTTTCGTCAGGTGGAGCAGCGAGTCGAATTCCAAGTTGGCGATATTGTTGCCCTTCAGCTCCCTGGAAAGCGAGAGAGAGGCCAAATGATAATCGCGCGTTCTCGTGGGTCGGCGCGATCTCCGACGAACGCGGCAATTTGCATGAGTGACAAGAATCGTCTCTCGCACGCAAGTCGCGAAGAAAGATAGATAGATATATATATATATATATATATATATATAAGATATATATATATATATATATATATCTTGCGTAACGTCCTAATTTTTATTTGGAGTTACAAGTACTCTCCTCCTTGTGGCGGACGCTCGCTCGCGCTTTAATACCTTAAGCGGCATAGACAGCGGCGACTTCCCCGCGGATAGATCCCGCTATCCTTGACTCTGAATACCGGGTACTCGCGATCATCAGCCAGCATGATCGCGCACACACAGCGCCCTATATGGCTGTAGAGACCTGTGACCGTGTGTATTTGTCGAGTCGGCTTCATCAATCTGGTCATTTGGCGCCGGTGGAGAGAGAGAGAGAGAGAGAGAGAGAGAGAGAGAGAGAGAGAGAGAGAGAGAGAGGGAGAGAGAGAGAGACCAGCGCGACCCACATGCACAGCCGTAACGAGCAATATTGCCTCGCCGTCCGTCCTCTCCCCCCCTACCCCCCTGCCACCCGTCCCTCTCGCCGTTCCCCTTGCGACGCGACTCCCAAACAATATATAGAGTAATAACAGTTATCATCCAATAAATAACAAATTGCTGCATACAATGGCGCCGGCTAATTTTTACCGCGGACGAAACCGACGGCGGATCGGTCGGTCTGCGCGTTTCAAGCGCGCCATCGTCCCCGTTCGGAAATATCCCGTCGTCGTAGAAATCTTGGACAAACTTGCGAAAACCAGCCCCACGCGCCTAATTGCCAAAAGCGTTCAGATAATACATTTTGTGGGTCGCTGCGTTGGTATTAGCGGCTTCCCCGGATTTGTGTTCGCGCGCCGCCGTGTGTGTGTGTGTGTGTGTGTGTGTTTGTCCGTGTGTGGTCACGAATGAATATTTGCTGCAACCCAATCTAATTTCCAACCCGCTTCTTTCCGGGCTGCAAAACAGAGGTGTTCATGTGCGCGAAGACAGAAAAAAATCAAGTAGTGTGGTATTATCAACAGTGACAATGTTATTTAAACTATTTCGGCTCTAAACTTTTCTTTCATACGCATAATTTCCATACAGCACAGACAGTTGCAACATTCCATAAATATATATATATATATGCAATGTTGCTGCAATCGCGCATAGGTTCGTTCGAGAGCACTCGCAGTGTTTCCGCCGAAATGGCGACAGAGCGCGGGTGGTTTTCAAAGCTCGCCCGAGATCCCCCGCACCCCTCCTTTTCCACTGGAAAACTGGAGGAAAAAAGAAGCTCTGGAGGAATTTAGCCGCGATCGAGAGAATGACGTCTCTGTCATTTGTCAACGCGATACTGATATCTCGCGCGAGAGTGCGAGCGCGAGCGCACTCGCAGCTATTTTAGATACAAAAACAAACGGGCGATCTTGAAGTACGCGGCACGTACTACGCTTCGTCCCGTGTCTTCGTAGATTATTCCCATTGAAACAGTCCTCCTCTCTTTATCTTATCAGCGCCGTAGTTCAGGTTACACAATGAGCGGGGGGCACACTCCGCGCCCTACCCTTACAATCGCGCTCCGCCGCGGCGTCACTCTCTCCTCTCTCTCTCTCTCTCTCTCTCGGCGAGGGGAGAGCCGAACAATGCGACACCCTGTGCACAGCCCGCACAGCGCGCACGGCTCATGAATGAGATGCATTCGGCAGCTCGGCGAGAGGTGCTGCACGCACCGCACCTACGGCGGCGAGCACAACCGGTCTTTGGGCGCGAACAAAAGCGAACAAAAGCCCGCGCCATACATAAACAAGCAGTCGGTCCCTTCGACTGTCAATGAGCCTGCGGAGCGACACGACGACCATGAATCCTGCGGGGGGACGCGTTTGCTCGGAGAGCAGCGAGCTGCACTTTGTGTTGCATTTCGAAACGAGAGACGGCTGCGCTCTCGTCTCGTGATCCGCGCGAGCGAGAGAAAAAGAAAGAAAGAAAGACAGAGAGTGAGGCGGAAGCGACACAGAGTGCAGCGAGTGCAACCGAGCACACACACACAAACGGGGACCAACAAACAACGATGATTTATTTACTCACAGGATCTCAGTCCACGGTGGTAGTCCGCTGGGTGCCTCGACCAGCTGCAGCTCGCTGCAGGCGACCAGGTTGCCGAGGCAAGAGCACTCGACCGGGCAGCGATCCGCTTCGCCGCCGCCGCCGCCGCCGACGACGACGACGTCGTCGTCGTCCAACAACGTCCCGATGCTCTTCGCGCTGATCGGCGGTGCGTTGAGCGCGACGAGGCAGCCGACGATCAACAGGGTCGTCGTAACGTCGTTGCTCCTCTTCGTCCTCTTGCACTCGACGAGTCGACGAGTCGCGGCGTATACGAGGCGCAGCCTCGGCGAGCCTCGCGACATCGTACGTACGTGCTTGCGTGCTTGCGTGCTTGCTTGCTTGCTTGCTTGCTTGCTTGCTTGCTTGCTTACTCGCGTGCGTACAATTGTACTGCAACGCACAGTGCAGCCAGCCAGCTAGCTAGCCAGCCAGCCAGCCAGCCAGCAGCAGCAGCAGCAGCAGTCCCGCTGTCTACGATTAATCGGTAGCGCGATGTTCACCAGTAGTGCCGTGTTGCTCCATCGCGTCGTTGTAGCCGCCGCTGCTCCGTAGGACGACGACGCCGCTCCTAGGCGAGCCGATTAGCATAATAACGAGAGAAGATGCCCACGTCGTGATCGATTCAAAACAAACTGCCCCTGCTGCTTCTTCTTAAAAACGCTACTGCCTACGCACCATGATGACGCCTACGAGACGACTGCTCCTCGCCTACCTCGCCACTGTGCGCGCGCCCACTGCTGCCACCTGGGTGAGTGCTGGTGGCTGGGTGGCGAGCGGCTCGGGCAGGAAGCTGGCGAGAGGCATTGGGAACTCACCTCAAGCCGGCTGCTCGGGCCACATCCTCGCGCGCGCGCGCTGAGCGATTGGCCCGTGTGGCTAAAGCAACGGAGAACGCCGGGTTGCCGGTCTCTCCCATGCGCGGCGGCGGCGGTGAGTAGTGTGATTTATTGGGGAGCAGAGCGAATTGTGACGTGATATCTCGCAATTTGCTAGCCGATTCTCGCAACATCGCGGCATCGGTGAATCTCGCCTGGCTGTCAGCTACGTCTCGACGACTACCGAGTTTCCCGAAATCCGAGGGACAACGTCGACATGGAGGAGAGAATACTGCAGATGCTCGAGGATGTCGGGTGAGTGGTCGTAGGTTATATCGCGGTAGATGCGTGAACACGTTAGAACCGCGTCTGAGTGAACCGGGTTTGAGAGTAGGGTTTGAATGCAGAACTTGATGGAATTTGCCAGGTTTACCCGTTATACGTTGTGAGGACATGCTTGTTGAAAGTTTTCTCTGGTGCTGCTTCTTTTGGAAGTTTGCGGTATGAGGACTGACATTTTTCATGATGTTACAGGTACACAGGACCACTGCTCGAGGCTGACAAGTTGTCACAGGCTTTGAAGCTTGGCGCAAAGTCGACGGATTTTACCGGCCTTGTAGCCTGGTTTGCCGAGCAACTGGGAACATTTATCAATATAGATGAGACTGTTCATGTGACAACAAGTGCAGACGATGCCAGTTCCTTTCTCTTAGAGTTAAGTTTTCTCCTCAAGGAAATAGGGTGTGTAAATGAGAAACTAATGACTGGAAACGTAAATCAAAGACTGGCAAGTGAGTCTGAAAGGGCTATCTTGATAGAATTCTTAGCAGCTGAACTTATGGCTAGTAAATTAATAGAGGTTAAATATCCCAAGGAAGAGAAACAGTTGGAAGTCACCATTGTAAGTATTCCAGGCTGCTTTTGATGTTTGTTCGTCTGCAAAGAATGACAAGAATGTTTTTCTATTCTACCTTGCAGGATGAGAGTGACACAGCAAGGAATTTGAAAAATATGTTGGTGACACTAAAGTTTCAAAAGCCACCCAACAATATTTCACCTGAACAATTGTTCTCCAGAGTAGAAACTAAATTGTCAGAAGTACTAAAGTCTTTACCACCTGAGTTTCTAGGTAAACCTCTCATTGACGTAGAGCTCTCTACTAAACAATGGGAGAAGCTGAGTGAGTTACAGGAGGAAATGCAAAAGGAGTTTACAATTCGTCGTGAAATGTTGCTCAAGCGTCTCGATGTCACGGTTCAATCGTTTCTGGTAAGAATCGAGATCGCAAAAAGCTAATTTCTTGGCACGACAAATTATTTCTGTTTTATACAAGATGTAACTTTGCAATTTTTCTTACAGTGGTCAGACAGAATAAAGCCACAGGAGTTTGAGGTGAATTCCAGATACGAAGAAAGAAGGAAAACCATGAAGAACGAGTCGAAGGTGATGATGGCCGACTTACTGGCGGCGAGAGACGATTTGGCGGTGATTGAGAAAACTAGCAACGCGAGCGTTCGCAAGAATACGCGGAGCAAAATCAACAGTGTTATCATCGGAGCAGTGCCGGACAGAGGTGGAAGACCTTATGAGCAAGAACCACCTCCACCAGAGATGCCTCCATGGCAAAAGGACAGGGTTCAGGGACCACAATCGTTCCGGTAAGAAAAAAAATATAATCAAATAAATTCAAATATACAAAATAAAACTCAATCATATCGTCATTTCCACGCGTATTAAATTTATAAACAAAATCTTGTTATATATTTAGTGGCGGGAGAGGAGGCGCTGTTGGTGGTGGTGGTGGCAGAGGAGGAGGAGGAGGTGGTAGAGGAGGCGGAGGCGGTGGTGGCTATCGTGATCACAAAGATGCTACCAGCAATTTCGGCCAGAACATGGACTATCAGCAGTCTCAGTACTCTGGACACGGCCATAGAGAATGTTATCCAGATCACAGAAACGACGGAGGATATCAGCGGGGTAGCGGCGGCGGCGGCGGCGGCGGCGGCGGTGGTGGTGGTGGTGGTGGTGGTGGTGGTGGTGGCAGAGCTGGAGGTTATCGCGGAGATTCCGGCGGTCAAAATTACAATCAAAATTACAGCCAGAATTACAATCAGAATTATGGCCAGAATTATGATTATCAACAACCGCATTATTCTGGTCAGAGGGATTCTTACGGGAATGACAATCGTGGTGGCGGAAACTACTATAACGATAGAAGAGAAGGAGGAGGAGGAGGAGGAGGTAGAGGCGGTAGAGTTCAAAGCGGCTGGAACGCTAACAATTCTGGTTCTAACTATCAACGCGGCGGCTATAACAGAGGCAGAGGCCGAGGACAATACTGAAAAGACATCACTATATTTTTTATGCTAGTATGGATGCTTATAACGCGCGGAGAATTGTCACGATATCAGGTGACACCGATAATCGCTATTATATTTACGCTTACGTATCCGTACATGTAACACACACACACACACACATACGCACGTGCAGACCAAGTCTGGTGTCAAAATATCTCAATTTGAAGATATTTAAGTACAATTTCAGATAATACTCTTGAAATGCGTATGTTGAGCCGAAGCCGAATTGATAGTCCAAAATTGTAATGTCGCATTAAGATAGGCAATACATTATTTATATTTGATCTCGCATCTCAAAGTCTCATTTTTGTAGCAACTTAATCTCCTCATTCGATCGAGCTATCCGTCTGTACATATATATATATATATATATATCATTATTCTCGTTTTACACGAATCAAATTTAAGAGAAATACAATGTGTAAATATGTATTTGCTCATCCGCTAGGAGCGCATTAGATGATTCAAATTTATTTATAACGTGAGGAGCGAAGACTGTAAATCAAGAATACTGAATTATACACTAAATATGTGTGTATCCAAGATTAAGTGCTAAATGATTAATATAATGTGCTTGTATATGCATAATACAAAATCCTTAAACATTGATCCCACATTGTTGAGTTGTATTATTTGAAATAAATACACTTTTACCTGTTGTGTTCAATTGTGCTATTTGAAAATAAGAGTCTTTTATTTTATAATCTTTTATATGTGCACCCGCAGAGATTGAAAACTTTTATTTTATTTTAAACATCGACCCTTAGACGGGTCTAGGCGGCACGGCGACGCGGGCCCGCGGCTGGTAGCGAAGCTAGTGAGGCCGCGGGACGAAAGCGACAGTGGTGCGATTTTTTAACTCGTTATTGGAGTTAACGACACTTTCGTTATCGTTGCGCAGCTTTTGTATACCGTAGAGAAGCTGCGCAACGATAACAAAACTGTGTCGTTAACTCCAATAACGTTAGGTTACAGGATCGTATCACAGCGTATCTAGGCGGCAGGGCGACGGTCGCCCCAGGTAGCCGGCGCTAAACGACAGGTGCCGGGCGACGGCGACGATGTCGATTATAAAAGTGAAGTGTGTATACAGCAGAGCTGGCCACGATCTGCACATTTCGGGCGAAATTCAGTAGGTGACGCCTACCGTCCCCCTCGCACCGCTCCGCGCTCAGCGGCCGGGGTGACGATCGCGGTACACTCAGGCCCGTCGCTGTATAAGAAATCAGCTGGGGCGTCACATTATCATTAAAATTGTTTCTTCGTTTAATAATCACGTTAAAATATATGTTTATGCATTACATATGTATGTATGTATGCATATATATATATATATGTATGTATTAAACACGTAAGCATATATATTTTAAAGTAATTATTAAACGAGAAAACAATTTTAATGATAATGTGACGCCTCAGCTGATTTCTTATATAGCGACGGGCCTGAGTATACCGCGATCGTCACCCCGGCCGCTGAGCGCGGAGCGGTGCGAGGGGGACGGTAGGCGTCACCTACTGAATTTCACCCGAAATGTGCAGATCGTGGCCAGCTCTGGTATACAGTATACGAAACAGAACGGTATGAGACTTTTATGCTTGTCTTAACCCGCTCTATGTCTTCATGAATTCTGCAACAATTGTTATGAGCCACCTTGTATACAAGTTGTTGCAAAATAATTTCTACAGAGCTCGTGGTAATATAGACTGGGTTAAAATAAATATAAAAATCCCATAACGTTTTACGATATTCGTAACAGTTCATTAATTACAGAAATCTGATGAGTAAGCGCGTGCCAAGATAGATGGAGAAGCTTCGCAGTCGCGCAGGCCACAGCACGGCCCAATCGATCCAGCAACTATTGGAAGTTTGCGGGAGTGTAGGTGCGACAAGGTAAAACACGAATAGTGGCGCGTGTCTTTCCTCTCGCCGCGCACCGGCAATAGTTGCTAGCTGTATTATTTCGAGCGTAGCTGTAGCAATCAGTATTATCATCGCTTTTCAATTACCTCCGGGTCCCTTTATATTATCTTGTCGGTGCGGTCGAATCTTATATTTAAGATCACCTTAAGTTCACTTTCAGATACCCTGTAGCCAATAAATAATTTGTACAATATCTGAAGATAAACTTAAGACGATCTTAAATGTAAGATTCAACTATGAATACCGGCTCTGGTTCTTTTCTCGCGAATGATACTATAGCCTGTATTCATAGTCAAGTTATTATATTTAAGATCTTATTATAAGAGTCTTATATTTAAGATCACCTTAAGTTCACTTTCAGATACCCCGTAGCTAATGAAATAATTTGTACAGAATCTGAAGATGAACTTAAGACGGTATCTTAAATGTAAGACCCGACTATGGCCGTGTTCCAAAACTCACTGCCAGTACTGAAAATATATATAGTTTGTGTCACGCAAACTAAAACTTTTTAGCGCTGGCTGTGAATGAATTTTAGAACACGGCCTATGAATACCGACCTATAAGATGTAAATTAGGGCCATTTTCCAGCAAGAAACGCTGTTACACAAAAATATTTTATTGGCTATACATTATCTGAAAAGATGTAGATAGATAATATATAACCAGTAAAACATTAGTGTGTAACACTTAGGCCGGTATTCATGGTCGGATCTTATATTTAAGACCGTCTCAAATTCATCTTCAGATGCTGTACAAATTATTTCATTGGCTACAAAGTATCTGAAGATGAACTTAAGGCGGTCTTAAATATAAGACCCGACTATGAATACCGGCCTTAGTGTTCCTTGGTTGGAAAACGCCGTAGATTTTGGAGTCATAATCCGTTTTGCTGTTATAGGAAATGAATTTGTTATCGAATATCGAAATTTATTTCTGCAATGTGTAATTAATCAGATAATTGTATATACTAAATGTATATACTAAATAATACTAAATTTCCTTTAGAAATTTTCTAGTGGAAATTGTTTTATCTGATGTCTGAGACCTTGAAACGTGGTAAAATCTTATAAACATAATAATTGGTAAATATTGATGTATCAATGAAGATAATTAAATATACTAAAAGGGTAGATAGAAAAGATTTTAGATTAAAAGCGTGGAGGCTTAAAACGTAAGTAAAATATATCAACACTGAAAATAAATACTGATTGAACAGTAAGATGTGATTTGTTGAAATGATCGCCTGAATTAAGCTACTGTCTATTTCTGACCTTTGTCTTATTTTTCAGAACATTGACAATACGAAAACCAAAAAGACATTCTACTCGCAAGTTTACGAAAATGTTTATTCTTAAAAATGCTACGATGAATATTGCCAATGATACAAATATTAGTGCACAGAGTATTCCTTCAGGTAAGAATGTTAGCTGCTTCACACAAAGAACAAGCAGACGGCTGAATTCTAGACACAGAAGGAAACAAATATGTGACAAAGAGACCAGTGATCAATCATCTTCTGACAATGAATGTAACAGACGCAGTTTTCTTTTTCTCTTATTTACACTAGTTTATATATTTTTTTGAGTATAGTATAGGTATATGACTAAAATATTGCATTTTATGTAAAGAATATCCAAGATGCATTATTTTTATATGAAAGTAATGTTCTAATTTCTGTCACAATAACAGTTTTTCTGATCAGGTGTTACAGATGACATCACAATATATGATAACTCTAAGCAGCAGAGGGAATTTGACATCTCTGATGAAGAATCAGAAGAAGTGACAGACAAGTGGATGCAAATATCATTTGCTGAAGAGAGAAACTTGGATTTGCCAATTGTGGTGAAAATGGACGACTCTGCTTTGTCAACTATGCCAAAGATTTTTGAGCAGGAGCAGAATAGACAATCTAAAGTAAACATGTCTTACGATAGGAAGTCCTTCATGTCAGAAACATGTTCCAGCGAGAAAAAGACATTAATTATAAGTACCGAATGTATAAACCTTGAAGACAGTGTCCATTCGTCAGTTGAACATAGAAAGCGACCATCGTGGTACGCGAATAAGACTGACAGAACTGAAGATAACGAGGTCGTTATGAATGTATTACGAAATGTTGCTGTTAATAGCAGTAATAATGCTAGCAGCAGCCCTGCGCGCGGAGAATTCATCAGAAGTCTCATAAGATCTACAAGTGGCAACAGCGATGTAGAAACTGACAGTTCGCATTTCGAAGATACAAGCGCGCTTTGCTATGAGTCTGACCATAACAATGAGGTCGAAGACAATGCAACTACTAGTAACAATACATCACAAGATATTGAGGTCACTAACAACAGTCTTGATACTAGTCTCGTGTACAGAGAATTCCCTTCGAGGGAGGAGCCCGATCAACGAACAACAGGTCTTCAAGATCCCGAAGTCGCCAGCGAATCTGTGCGAAAGTACAAGAAGCCACAATTATATAACATCAGGAATATTGTGATCGTAATCATGGAGAGCTGCAGTAGATTCAGCTTCAACGGCAAGCTGTTGGTGAAAGTGCTGTACGGCGCCGTGGAGGTCTACGGTGCCGTCTTGGACGCATCCAACGGTCCAAGTCCAGTGTATTCTCCGTGGGGATACAGCAGCGTCGTCGTGGAGACTAGCAAAGAGTCACCGGCAGCGAAAGGCAGCATCGACGACATATGGACGGTGCTTTCTGCAGAAGGCATCATTCAACACTCGGAGAGCAAGCTGCGGAAGGACATCAACAAGGTGGAATCAGGTACGGCTGTGCTGGTGTTACGGAACTTCGACAACAATCTCACGTACTTCCTGAAGGCTCACTCTTCGCTCGGATTGTTTCCGAAAGTGAAAAAATCCGGCTATTATCCTTGGACGCATCATCACCGAGCCGAGGTAGTGCTGCAAGCGCAACTGCGTTACGTTCAGCGCGACAGCCCGACTTGCAGGCAACTGGTCAGCTCGTTAGCCATCAACCAGATCGTTGAGAAAATGTTGGTGTGCTGGCATACGAATAGCTGGTCGTGCACGATGATCGCTGGCGGCAAGAACGTGGGCAAGTCCACCAGCGTGCGTTTCTTGATTAATAAGCTGCTGCGCACTTGCGGGAAGGTAGTGTTGGTGGACGTGGATCCCGGTCAGGCGGAGTGTACGCCAGCTGGCTGCGTCTCGTACAGCTTGATCGAGCAGCCGCTCATGGGGCCGAACTTCACGCACCTGCAGACGCCGGTTTACCAACTGTTCATCGACGAGATCAACGTTGCACGATGTGTCCCGCGCTACTTGCAGAGCTTAAAGATGTTAATCGACAAGTTGAAGCAGTGCCCGGAACTGTCGCGGCTGCCGATCGTCGTGAACACGATGGGCTTCACGCAGTACATCGGCTTAGATCTGGCCATCTTCATGGTGAAGCTCGTTAGACCGTCTATCATCCTGCAGATCTTGTCGTCGAAGAAGAGAAATAATTATGCGCACTTGCTGAACGCGGACGTTGTGAACCAACAGGTATACTAGGCTACTCTACTGCAGCTATTTAGGTAAATCCGATCGTTCCGTTGACACGACCGCTTTTTCATGAGGCATTTCGATTTGTACAGAAATGCAAGTGGAACGTGATTGACGATTGGGACAGCCCGTGCGATCACGAGCTCTGCGTGATACACTCCAACGCGGAGAACGAACTCACGCGGGCAACGAACGAGTTGAGCATAGAGCCGTACCAGCAACGCGAGCTCGTGATGATTTCGTATCTCAGTGGCATCGTACGCGACAGCTACAAGTGAGTTCTTCTTCTTTGACGAAAGCACTCGTCGTGTCGACACGAAGCTCCAATCGTTTATAATCGTTACTTTCTGCCATTTCAGCCATTACGAGAATCTATCAGTCAGCATCAACGAGACGTTGCCATTCATGTGAGTATTTCACTATCGAGCCAGCCGAAACGTTCAATTCGACTGGTCAACCAAGTGTGTCTGTGACACACTTCATCAACATCGAAACGTTGATGACGCGTCCGTGCATGTTCATCACAAAGGAACCGAACTTTTTGATTGATGCAATACCAATGTCCAGCAATGTTGCGAGTACGAGCACTTATTTGTGTATGTTTTGCGTGCGTTTTCAGGGCGCCCTTCTCTTCCTTATGCATCATTCCTCAACGATTGCTAGGCGTGCCAGACACGCACGCGTTGAGCGTCATAAATGGCAACATAGTGGCACTGTGCGGCATAGATTTGACGAAAGAGTCGGCGCAGGTGTCCGACAACACGTCGAGTCTTAGAGTGCTCACACAGAGATCGCCTTTGTGCACCTGCTACGGATTTGGTAAGAGCGAATACTTTCTCCGGGAGGAATGATGATAATATTATATACAGGATGAAGCACCTAAAACAAGGACGAAATTCTTTGAATGTACAAATGAAACATAGAAGGACCGTGCTTGTGTGTCGAGAAATTCTTCTCGCAACGCGTGTGATTTGCTTCCGAAGTTCCGTTGCGCCGTTTTAGCCGTATTCTGCGTACCCGGATTTCAACATAGACACGGGATATGGTTATAAAATATGGAAACTCCTCTTCTAATATTTAAAATAAAGAGAGTTATTCAGGGAGCTGGTGCTCCAGGTTTCAGGTGCCTTACCCTGTATATGATCGATGTGAGAATTTTGTCTCTATATGGCTGTATATATGTAACTATTGTTGCGTACAGCCACTTTATATAGACACAAAATTAATATATAATTACTTCTCGAATGTTCACGCGTGTACCTTTCGATACGAGAAAACCTGGTCTGGCGCAGTTTTGGCCGCTAAACGCGGCTAAAACGGGGTTAAAGGTTTTGTTTCGCCGATGTAAACGTCGTATGTAAACGTATGCAATGTTGCTCCAATTTCTTGGAGAAACCGGGCAGCGCATATTCGACGTTCTACGTCCTTGTCCAGACTACAATCCTTGTGTGTGTGTGTGTTGTAAAATATGTACGTATAAAAAGAAGAAAAGATCTTTACATTTCACATCATTCGCATATACACAGGTATAGTACGAGGGGTCGATATGGAACAGCAACTAGTGTTCATCAACACCCCACTGCCCATATCGATGATGCAGCACATCAACTGTTTGGCAGGTTCCATTCCCATTCCGCCGACGCTGTTGCAGCTGAGCCACGGCGCGCCGTATGTCGGTGGGGATCAGACGCTGCCGACGAGTCGTGTGGTCCGTAAAGGTTACTTCCGAATGAGATCCCGAAAGAGGCCGAATAACTCATGACAAAGTCACAAAGTAATGTAAATATACCGCTAAACACACACTGATGTCATAAGAACACTCGGGGACATTAGCGTCATGAACCTTTTTTGTAAGTTACATGCATCACACAGATATGCTGTCGATCACATTGGAATGCGCAAGATCGCCGATACCGAACAATACATATGTACATATGTATATATATGCTATGTATGTATATACATATATCTGTGTAGGTATATATCACAAACGTCATATATGCTAAACTTTGTAATTATTATCTAAACCTTGTAATTACTTTACTTGCATGATTTGCAACCTTACGTGTCAGGTAAATTGAAAGTGTGTATAGAAAGTCGTAAAAAACTTTATATGTACATATATACACATATAAAGCTTTGTATATATATAAATTGTATTTTAATAAATAACAGATTATGAATTATACGCATAATAATTGTGAGGTGATAATATAATCGTAATGATTTTAATTATCATGAGAATGTCGTGTGTGATTATTATGATAATATAATTCTTGCTATGATTATTGCGTAACTCATGAAAAACTCATGTATTTGGTTAGGAAATGATTAAGAAATTATACAATCATCAGAAATCATGAGAATAATAATAATAAACATTAAAACACATATATGACGTCTGATGTGCGATCGGTTGTATTGATATCGTCCGGTATGCTTACACTTAATACCGAACAAGTTGCTCCTCCACTATGTAGCAACGTATCTATCTTCTCACTGGCTATCTATCACTGGCGGAATCAACTACTTGAGTCCGAAAGGAAACGCCTTAATCTTCTCACAATATGGGCCGTGTTCCAAAATTCATTGCCAGTACTGGAAATATATAGTTTGGATCATGCAAACTGTAAACTTCTCAGCGCTGGCAGTGAATTCTGAAACACGACCTGTGGATGCACCGGACGGAGCGTCGATGTTACCGATCGTCATAACCAAAAGTGCAAATTTTTGTGTACAAATCGTAACTGTGTACAAGAGCGATCGTACAAAAACACGGACGTTCTTGCGCGTAATCATTGTCAAATCAATTGAGAGAATCACCCACAGTGTCGAAGTGTGTATTACACGAGCGATAATAAAGGGATGATTCTCTGTACTTATACAATACACTTAATTTCTACACCCATGTGTGCGTTTTCTTCTTAAGAATAGCACAAAATGAAAACATTTGCTCGAAAATTTAGTCCTAAGTTTACAAATTTTAAAAAATTCACTACAAACTCATCCACCGCAACAAGATAGGGAATACCACTTCCCTCACCGCGAGTCAGATTGGGTGTTTTCGTTTGTTTCTTCATTGCACTTAAAGCAGGAACACAGTGGTCGCAATATGGCGGCGAGTGTTTGCACACTCCAGGACTTGCCGATCAATCTTTGTCGATTCGTGGCCGATAAGTTTTTCACGTCTGTGTAGTGTCGCGGGAAACCAAAGATCTCCTCGAGCTCGGTGATCCACAGGGTGTCACTGGTGCCTTTCATCATGATCGGCTTCAGTTCTGCTTTGCCTGATACAGTTATAAAACAATCGTTCCTTTATTCAACGATATCTTCCCCAGTTTGTATGTAAATAAGCAAACGGTTAAGAAAGAAAAACACACGTACCTTGTCTCAACGAATTCGATCTAGTCGTCACTGTTCGAATTTTCTTCACGAGCGCGTAACGGTTACAATTCGGTGTGAGTATATCCTGAACATCCACTTGCCTCTGAGACTGGGGGAAATACGGGTCGTGGGGCAGATTGTGCCAATAAAGCCTCAGCCTGTGCTGGGGCGAGAAGTCAGCAGAGTCTATCACCATCGGTTCCTGTCCCAAGTGCCTGAAATCGAGAGGATTGCGCGTGATCGTGACGCACATTGCTGCGTGATGAATGAAAACGGGAGGCATACTTGTTCATTTCCAATCTGTACTCGGTCGGCATGGAGGCGACGTTCTCGTACAACCAGAATAGGTGATGGCCCTTGTTGCTCTTTTTCAATTGCTTCAAAATCCGAATGTACTCAAAGAACAATATGCCGGTCCCCTTGGGGTCTGCAAAAGCGAGGGAAAACGGGAATTATTGCCGTCTCGGAGGCTTGACGCTTTTCTGACGATCATATCGATCCTTACTGTGAAGACCCAGTCGTGCCGGATTGACCAGACTGAGGTCGTTGCACGGCGAGCCGCCGATCAACAGGTCGATCGGCATGATCTCCTTGACCTTCTCCTTCGTTATGTTTCGCACGTCACCTAAGTAAGTAATACGATCGCCAAAGTGAGCGGAACTGATCGTTAGAGCATTTTGATCGATCTCACTTGCGTAATAGACGTCTACGATGATCCCCAGTTTCAGAAGCACTACCAGACCTGTGAATTATTATCATGGTTCTCTTTGGCTCAACTAGGTTGCACTTGTTGCCTTCAGAGTGAAATATAATCCAACTGTATATGATTAATCGCGTGCGATCTAGCGTTTAATTGAAGAGGAGCAGAAAGTTCCAGTGCAACATTGGAACTTTCAGTTCAGCTAAACGAATAAGGTTGAGATATATATATATATATATGTGCGCGCTCTTGTGTGTGTGTATGTGTGTACAAAAATTAAAAAGTTTTCTTATAGATATATAGGATATACTGATGAGCACTTTACCTGTGCTCAAACCATCGAAGAGTGACAACACACGTACGCCTCTTTTCTCTCCGTTATTATTTACAACATTTGTGCTATTAAACACAGGATCCGAAGTTGTATGGAACATGCCGAGGAATTTCTCCTTCCAATCGGCTCGTGGACGCAACAGCCCCTCCGTAGGCAATGTGGACTTGTCTCTACAGAGAAAGCATTCCCACGGATCCTCCAACAGCATCTTGTCGTATACTTTCGGACACAGCAGATATTTCAGGCAGGCTGTGCAAAAGACTCTGAAAAGACGAGTCGCACGATTAAACAACTGGTGAAGGCGAGCTAGTGGAAGTGTCATTGTCAGGCGAATCATCAGCGAGCTACTAACCTGGGACAATCCTCTCGGTCGCAGATAACCACGGTCCCAGTGGCAGCGCAAACTGTGCAGTAAAACTTAAATCAGAAATAGTAGAAATGCGCCACGGGATGCTATCCTGATTCGCGAGTGTCGCTTGGTTTGTCAGATGATACTTACGCACTTGTCGTCGTTCCCGAATACGAACATACATGGCTTAAAGAGGTCCTAAAACGAAACAATTTGTGTAAATCGTATTGCATTATTGCAGTCATGGCGGACAAAAGTATATAAGTACTGTATAAATATATATTTTTCTAATAGATAATAATTTATGTATACTCATTAATGTACATGTATTCTCTCTTCCTCTCTTCCACCTTCTCTCTCTCTCTCTCTCTCTCTCTCTCTCTCTCTCTCTCTCTCTCTGATAATTGAAAATAAAAAAAAATATTTAAAGTTTGATTCATTTTCTTTTGTTTTTTCTTTACCGAACATTCTTTACACAGAGATCCTTCGAAGAATGGATGATCCTCCATTACATCCTTCGGCAACTTTAAGCACTTTAAGCATAATTCTGTCAGTTTGGATTGCCCTTGCCTTATACGTTGCAAAGCATCTGAAAGTGAGAAAATATGAAAGATGAGGGTCAGTATCGTACAGAATATATCTCGACTGTGTGCGTATAAGCATTTTTGTGTAAAGCATGTAAGTCGCATACGATCTCATAGACCTACCACTCTGCTTAATGTCTTCCTTGCGCTGCGAATCTACATTTGGATTGGATTTTAATTCATTTATCTTTTTTATTATCTCGTTGGAATACTTATCGTATACTTTGTTTGACTCTGAAACTTGTAAATGGTTATATGCTACGTGTATATTATTCATATCCGAGAAATACTTAAAGACATTATCTAAACTCCAGTTATCCGTGTTGCATCCCAAACGCGCGCAATAATCCTAAAAAGTCACATTCAGATCGTGGAGAAAGTTTTTTTAGCAGACATTTTTGGAAATGAATATTCATCACGTCCAAATAAATAATCTCTTCAAAGCAATAAATCTCAATTTGTATCCCTTGTTACAGGGAGATATCAATTGTATGATTTACTGAATTATCTACTAACAATGCAATTTGTAAAGCTAAATGTTCTTTACCTTCGAGGCTTGCAACACGCCCATAAGATACACATGCTTTTTCGTGTTCTCGATGTATTCGCGCAACTTTTCGATTCCCTTGTGAAATTTCAAAAATGCTAAGTGATGTACCTGCAAGAAGAAACAACTGACGTAAAGAATACGAAGCGGCTTATTTCTTGCCTCGATACTGGATCGTGAATTATATTACCTGCGAAACCGTGTAGTCGCCGTACCACATAATCCACTGACAACCGAAACCTGGTTCCTTCAAGCAGCAATCGCGATAATCGATGACCATCGCTGAAAACAAGAGGAAAAAAGGGGAACGTTAGAAACTCACACTTACACTTGCAAGTGCAGTGATCGCAGAAATATCTGCTAAAACAAAATTGAAATCTACCTGGCCACCAGTTGTGCCCCGTGATCTTCGCCCAGGTTATAACACCAGGTATTTGTTCTCGCAATGGTAAACGCTCCTCCTCCATTTGTTTCACGGCTTTTGTGTCTTTGGTTTTTTCGGTCTTTTCGGCTTGTTTCTTCGGTTCCGGCGAACCTGTTTGGGGATGAACGTTAAAGAGACGCGTCGCAACGCGTGCCCGAATAAAGATGGAGGAGACGAAGAAAGAGAGAGAGAGAAAGAGAGAGAGAAAGAGAGAGAGAGAGAGAGACACTCACCGCTTCTCTGATTTAATATATACTGCTCGGTAGCTTTGGCGTTCTTTGCCTTCAGAGCGTCCAATCTTCCTTGTATCTTCGTGGGATACGGGTAAAAATACAAGTTGTCCACTGTCGTGTCGAGTGGGCGTGCGAGCAGAAAGATTCACAGTTATTCCGCGACTTCCAAATTGCGCATAAAGTAACAAGATATGGGCACACACGAGAGAGAGAGAGAGAGAGAGAGAGAGAGAGAGAGAGAGAGAGAGAGAGAGAGAGAGAGAGAGAAAGAGAGTGTACGTGTACGCGCGTGTGCGTGTGTGTGCGTGTGCGTGTGCGTGTGCGTGTGCGTGTGCGTGTACGCGCGTGTGCGTGTGTGTGTGTGTGTGTGTGTGTGTGTGTGTGTGTGTGTGTGTGTGTCGCGACACTTACGTTCCTCCTCTCTGATATTCCGTTGTATCCAATAATAATACGGCTTAGTCAGAGTGGACTCGTAACGTTGGCGTAGCATCTAAAATAATTGTAACGGCACATCGCATTTTTCCAAGAATAATTCCTTATTTGTAATTTGTTATTTGCGTAAAATTTCGCGTAGTGTTTATCAAAAAAACCTTTATTGTATCGTCAATGGCTTGCGATCGAATATTATTTTTACGAAACTTTTGCGTCAATCGTTCCTCCAGCTTCCTGGAAAACGGTTCTATCTGGGTTTTCTCATTCAGCTGAAATCATACAAGTCACACGTGTGTTTCATTGTGCGGAAGGAGGAAAAGAAAGGGGGGGGAGAAAGGGGGAGCGACATTCTCTATTCGCCGTACACTTGTTCATTTACCAATGATATTTGCGATTCCCCGATCCAGTAGACCCACTCCTTGCCGGGTTCAGCTGCCATTCCTACTTGTTCAGCTTCGACGATCAGCGCTGCAACGTCACGTTGCAACTTTCAGTGCATTTCTCGAGAGTTAAACCAGCGGTGGGGGAAGAACGCGTTCGAACGTTTAAACACTATTTTGACATTCGAGAATCGAAACATATTCACCTGGCCACCACCCCGAACAGTTTCCCCATATTAGTTTGCCGACGTTATTCTCCTTGGTAGTATTTAACGAAGACCTCGTTAATCTTCTTCGCAGCGTGTATTTCTTCTCATTCTCGCTGTCTGTTTCGTCGTCCTTGTTGCTATTATTTAAGCTCTTCACCTCAATCTAAATTATCACACACACATTTCTTCATAATTGTAATAAACATACGTATAAATAAAATAATATGTTATATATATTAAAATATTTAATGTAAATGTATCATGTGTTGCGTCGTGTGTGTGTGTGTGTGTGTGTGTGTGTGTGTGTGTGTGTGAATATAAATGTATATATGGTAATTATAAATATATTTTTTATATATCGAATATCGAATATAATATTATGTGTATAATTATATTATACATTTATAACTGTATATAAATTTATATTGATAATATTTATTTTAATAAGAAATATATTATATTTACGATTATAATTTTGTAACATTGTCTTTCGATCCGAGGTGCATTCTGAACTCGTTTCTTTCTCAGTTACGACACGATTGTGACGACTAAGCGCAGAAATGGCAACAACAACTCGTGTTGCTTTGAAAATACGATATCGTTGTCACGATACTCGTGGCAAGAATTTCGCCGAGCCTGTCGGTGAGGCGTACTAGGATGCGGATGGTTTACCTTGGCAGGATCTTGGCTCTTCTGTCGGCAGAAGCTGCGCTCCGGCAACGACGATTTCCCGTTACTCCTGTTCCGATTTCCATACGTGATCACGTCCTTCGTGTCGGCGCGGCGATTCGCGAATTTCGCGCGAGGAGCTCTCATGACACTGATGGAAGCAGCAGCCTCGACGAGGATGTCCGGTGGCGTCTCGCGATACACGTAGCATGCGCTCGCCATCAGCGCGTTTCGCTCTTGGCGCGCTCTGCCGTCGGCGGGGTCGTCGTCAACGTCCGTCTTGCCAGGAGTCGTCGCCGTCGTCGACGTGTTGGCCGCAGCGTCGTCCTCGTCCACGATCGAGACGATCAGCGCGCTGATGTCGCTGTCTTCCGAGGCCCACTTTATCTCGTTGTCCACGTTTATCTTCAACGACGGCGTCGACGGCCTAGAGTCGTCGAGAACGACGCATTCCGGCAGAACGCTCTGATAAGTCGTTTCCTTGAGATCGACGTGCTCGTAGTCGATCGACGTCTTGCACAGTTGTCTCTTCTTACCGCCTTTCTGGCTTGTGTTGCCGTATGTCTTCAAGAAGGGTTTCGCCGGTGATTGCGAGCGGTCTGAGCTCCTTCGTGAGCTGTCTTCGTTGCCGGTCGCGTCGTCGTCGTCGTCGTCCCAGTCGTCCTCCCATTCGTATTTCATGGAGACGTCGCGACTCTCGACCTTGACTTCGATGACTTCCACCACGTTGTTCTCCGTGTCCTTATCGGAATCCTCGTTGCCAATATGAGCGCGAATATCCTTCATGATCGCCGTGGCGGTGTGCTTGAGATTCTCCTTGCACGAGCACGACGTAGGAGCGCTGTTGTGGGAGCGGCGACTTTCGCAGCGTTTCCGCGCGTTCTCCACGTTGCCGTCGACCTCTGGAACCGCCGCGACTTGCGTCGCGACACTCCGCTGGCGACTGCTCCGATGGGCGATGGGAGTGATTTGCGAGGCGTTATCGTCGCTCGCCGCGGACTGTCGCCGGCGCTTTTGCCGGCGCGTCATGATCTCGCCGTTCTTCGGCGAAGTCGCAGGCTGCTCCTTCAGACTCTCCAGCAGCTGCTCGCGATTCCTCTTCTGCGACGGTAGCCTTTCGTTCTCGTCGTGCGTGCTCGCAGCCTTGCGACCCGAGACGCTCCCGTTCGCGAGTTCGGTCTCCTTCGGGTTCACGCGACTCGTGAATCTACCAGCAACTTTGTAGTCTTTGTCCTTGTTTTTGTCATCGTCGTCGTCGTTGTCGTCGTCGTCGTCGTCGTCGTCGACCACGTAGTCCTCGTCCTCGTTGTTCCCGTCGCTGCTAGACGACGTGTCCTCCCAGATGTCCCCCATGTCGACGTTCACGCGCGTCACTTTCCTGTAATAATCGTTGAACTCCAACGGGTCGCTGAGGTCTCGCTTGGACTTTCGGGCGCCGCGAAGCGACGTCCGAGATCCAGCCACATGTCTCGATGCGGAGTGATCGGTCGGCGTCTCGGTAGTTGATTCCCTCGGTGTCGCGCGAGCGTCGTCCTCGTTGGACGCCGCGAGGTACGCCGCGGACGAGCGGCCGCGAGGCTCCTCCATCTTGTCACCGCCCGCGCCGGCTAGCCGAGCGTGAAGTTGCTTGAACGAGTAGCTGTAACCCGGCAGCCCCGCAGCTGGCCTGTTGGAGCCGACGTGACTCTCGATGCTGTGGATCTTCCGGCTGACCGGCGACACGGAGGAGGCAGCTGCGGCGACGACTCGTCTCTTCGTCGCGGACTTGAGAGCCAGGCTGTCGTGGATCCGACGGTGCGGGACCATCGCGTCCAACGGCTTCTTCTGCCGTTTTATCGTCCATCGGCTCCGCTTCCGTTTACCGCGCTTGCGAGCGGTCTTCTTCAGGGTGCTACGTGCCGCCTGCAGGAAGGGCCAGAAGGCGGCCGAGGTGTTATTGCTTGTGGACCTTGCCTCGTCCGTGTCCTCGCGATCGCTCGCCTCGACGTCGGCGTCGGTGTCCTCGGCGGCGTAATGCTTCCTCATGAAGGCGTCCCAGATGTTCACGAAGGAGACGTCCTTCAGGGACGACTCGGAAAACAGCCCCAAGTTCATGGCGCACACTATGGACCAGACCGTCCCCATTTTGAACTTCCATGGCCTGCCTCTGCGTCGCTTTTGGCTTATCTGCAAGAACATCGGAGAAGATCGCGGTGAGGAACTGCGGGGGAGCGAGAACGAGAGCTTACTCGCTACGATTATATTATCCGATTATGTTGCACGCTATTTCCGTCATTCCCGATTAACCCCGAATTCACGGCTACAACTGTTTCGCGAACATGTCCGGATGTCTACGTTTGCGATCGCCGAGGATCCCAGAGTCATGCTCGAATTACTCGTTATTGGAGGCGCATCATCAAGCTTAACTGGAGATCAGACGACGTTGTAAACGTCGAGAGAAAATCGCATGACGAGAGGTCTCATAGACGGGGGGGCTTTGGCCTCTAATGAGTTCCGCATCATCGCTTTGGAGCCACTCACTCGCGTCGGGACGGAATCTTTCGACGGAAAACCACGTCGCGGCTACAATTAAAGAACGGACACGGCGAGTGTCGTGAGAATACGCGATCCGCGAAATCGTATCAGCGACAGACGGCGACTTGACGGAGGGCTGCGCGGAACGGGGGGAGGGGGGTGTGGAGGGCAAGGCAGAGTGTCTGTAATCCGGGGTGTTTGTTTATCTCGTAATTACGAGAGTAAAGTGTATAAAGAAAATGTATTGGATCGCGTCGCATCCGTGGGCAGATTTCCCACGGGGGAACGTAACTCGCAACATTGACAGAGTCGTCGTCGTCGTGGGAAAGAGAGCGGAGGGCAGTGAGGAGGGGACGAGGCTTGTGGAAAGTTTCCGCAGTTCTCGCGCGCAAAAATCACCTCAAAGAGAGACAAATTGGGTCGCGGGCGCTTGATTAAAATTAAATCTGAATTAATCTCTCTTCTCTCCCTCGGAGTCCTTCTCCCGCAGCCCCTTCGTCGTCGTCGTCGTCGTCGTCGTCGGCGTCGTCGTCGTCGTCGTCGTCATCGTCGTCGTCGGCGGTAAATATCACCGGTTCTCATATTAACGCCGTGCCGAACAGTAGCCCCGAAGAAGAAGAAGAAGAAGAAGAAGAAGAAGAAGAGCGATGTCCTCCAACTCCCTCCTTCCCTTCCTCTCATCCTCTCTTTCTCTCTTTCCTTCGCAAAGTACGCTTCTTGATCGCGAAGTAATATCGCACCGCGTACAAACATTACATTTATATCCGCCCGCAGCGGCGAACGCACTCTGCTGCTCACCCGGCATGCGTACTCATTCCCTCCCTCTTGGAGGAGCTTCGTAATACTTCCCGGAAGTCTACGAAGACCTGAATTAAGTATGAAGTCATAAGAAATGCAGATGCGCTGCAAAATGAATGTTCGTTGCGCGAAGTCGACGCACCGCCGCTGCGCTTCGCTCAGCTCCGCTCCACTCCGCTCCGCGCCGCGCCACGCCGCGCCGCGCCATTCTGTGTGTACTCGTCGACAATACATTTTGACGCGCGTTAATCGCGACGACGCAGCGACGAAAATATCACGCGCTAAGTAGGCGCGAATTCATTATTATGAGCCGCCTTTCCTTCGACAGATCAATATCTCCGAGAGCGAGAGAGCGAGCGAGCGCGAGAGAGAGAGAGAGAGAGAGAAAGAGAGAGAGAGAGAGAGAGAGAGAGAGACTTAGATTCGGCAAGTGGCAGGGCGCAATCGCGTCCTTCCGAGCGGAGGAATGCAACTTTTCGCATCGCATACTTCCGCAATTACCGGCCTCGGAGCCGAGGATGGTTCCTCGGCAAAGGAGAGACTGACTCCCCGACGAGTTTCCCCGACTCGGCCGCGACGGTATGAATGTTTGATGCGGCCGAAGCGCGGAATTACATACGCGACACATTTAATTCCATGTTTACGTCAGCGCAAACGTCGCCCGGACAAGGGCGCCGGCGCATCGACGTGCGGCAAGAAAGAAGAGACCGGACAATTTGCGCGCAAGACATACACGTGAATATTTCAATAGCGACGACGTGCGGCACGGCGACGTGGCGCGCTCGCCGCCCCTCGAAACCGCCCTTTATTCCACCCTAACATTCTGCGGTAATTGCAGCGTGTCTACGGCCTCCCCTCCCCCCTCCCGTCCTCCGTTCCTCCTCCCGCGACGTCTTACTTCAAAAAACAAATCGATAAGGATAAAATATGAGCGAAGCCGCGCGGCGTGGAGCGTATCGCGGCGGGGCGGCCAGGTGTTCGCTGTGAATCACACGGCAATTGCGTCTCACCTGAGCCGATAAGAGGCGTGCGTCTCGCGCACGCTCGCAGATTAGACCGATATTCGCGCGCGCGCGAGGCGATGACGATGACGATGCGTCGCGATTTCGCCGACGCGACGCGCCATTTTCGCCGGCTGCGCGGAACGACCGCGGCTCGGCTCCCTCCTCGGAGCGGTGCCTCGTCGACGCCGTCGAAGGACGCGAAGGAGAAGAAGGAAGACCCAGGAATGACCCACAGGACGCGCGTGCCGCCCTTCTAAAACGGTACGCCGTGTTTCCTAGAGGCGGCGATTCGCGCGCCGCAAAGCCGCTCGGCCGAGACCTGTTGAATGGAAAGCCCGTCATTAGCAGTCTTACGCAAACAGGATCAGCCGGCCGTTTGTACTTTAACGAGCGATTGTACATTTAACATGCGATTGTTATTTCACGAGCGCGTCGATTACGCTCGCCGCCGCGCGCATCGGTAGCGCATCGCGTTAATATCGCCATCGCGGCCATCGCGCGCCGTCCACGTTCTATTTTGGCCGCCCCCGGTCCAGAATCTCCCCCTCCCCCCTCCCAGTCCCTCTCAGCCAATCCCCGCCGATCGGTTCGGTACATGTACACGCATGAAGAATGCAAAAGTCATTTCTCCACGGCGCGCGGTTAAGAATTAACATCTTCATTTCACCGCGAACTGTGTCGCTCGTCGTCGTCGTCGTCGTCGTCGTCGTCGCCGTCGTCGTTGAGCCGCTTTTGTTCGGCGTATCCGACGGAAGCAGGGCGACTCGCTCTGGTCGCACTGTGCAAATATCGGCTAATGCGATGTTCTTTTGTCGAGTCTCCCGTTGTTTACCGATCGAACAAAGGGGCGAAAAAGACACCTTCGCACCGGGAGAACACGCGAAGGACAAGGAGAGCGATCGCACTCTCGGAATCTCGTGCGATCGCGATTCTCTGAGCGCGCCGGCATTTATCCGACAATGGGGGGGGGGGGGGACGACGACGAGTTCGCGCTGCGTCGAATCCCCCGGAAGCCCGAGGAACACCGCCGACAGGCACACGACCATCGGCGCGATAAATGAATCAGATTCGGCCGGCGGCGGCGGCACGGCCGAGATTCGGATCGCCCTTTAAATAGCCGCCTCCTCTCGCGGAAGGGGTTGGCGCGGGCGTGAGAGAAAAAAGGCGCAAGGTAAAACGGCGGAGACTGGGGCGCAGGAGGCGGGGACGCCGCGAGGGTGAGGGCGATGCGCGGCGAGTTCACGTGGCGCCTCCAAAGGCATTTCTCGAGGTCGCTCTCCGCGCCCCCGGGGTCGACCTGATGAATGGAAACGTCGGTATTATTGTGTTTACACGCGGGACACACGGGTGCCTCTCTCGCCACACTTGGCGTGGAAACATTCCATTCATAAAGCGTTCCGCGCGTTCCTCTCACCGCCACACACACACGCACGCACACACAGGCATATAGGTGCGCACACATACACACACTACGGCCGTTGTGCGGCCCGCACACACCGCACGACACACGCACACAGACGGTAGTAGGCAGGCAGAGACAGACAGACGGACCGAGAGACCGAGGAGGGTACGGCACGACGACCCTCTGCCTACCGGGCGCGGGGGTTGACACCAGTGACGTATTCAGAAATTTCGTTGCCGCGCCGAGGGACGCGGTTGCCCCCCCCCTCCCTCCCTCCCTCTTGCCGCTGCGGCTCGAGCGGAGATAACGCTGGAGATTTTCTCGGCTCGTAACGACACTCATCCTCCTCCTCCTCCTCCTCCTCCTCGTCCTCTTCATCCTCTTCGTACCCTGTTCGTCATCCTCCTCTGACTCTTTCGCCCTCGCATCTCGCTCTCTGGCGCCACCCCCGGCCGAAAATAATTCCTCGCTCCATTGCGCGAGGAAACGGGGATTCCCACGCGCCGCGCCGCGTGCTGAGATTCGAGCCGCCGGGACTGCCCCCCCTACCCCCCCCCTCTCCTCTCGTGTCTGTCTAATGACGAGGGGATTGGATTATCGGAGATACCCGCGCGCGAGGATATCTCCGCGCGCGCGTCCGGCTATGTCGGCCGCTCGACTACTTGATCCACTTTCGATGCGTTAACCGCTCGAGCGAGCGAGAGAGAGAGAGAGAGAGAGAGAGAGAGAGAGAGAGAGAGAGAGAGAGAGAGCTTGACTTCATCGGCCGGCTCGGTGTCGTCCGACGGATATTTCTCTCCGATTGCGCGCTTACCCGCGAGCCTGGCAGCCTGCCTTTTGTTGCGTGTGAAATTACTTTGCATTACATGGAATTATATATCTCTCTCTTTCTCCCTCTCTCTCTATCTCTCTCTCTCTCTCTCTCTCTCGGTGGGGGGCGTGAGGAGAGAACTCCGGAACGCCTGGCGGAAAGGTATGAAATGCTCGCGGGGTGAGAAAGGTAGACGCGAGATACCCTCGACGTTACACGTAACACATCGCGGTAATTTATAACGACAGGTGTTTCCAGTCTGCCCCTCTCTGTCCCCCCCTCCCGCCTGCTCCCAGCGAGAAAGGGCGTCAACCGTAACGCCGGCAGCCCTCGTGTCGCTGCCACTGCCGGTGGCAGCAAAGGAATGCTCTTTTTCGCCGAGCGCGCGTGCCTCTCAAGGTCTTTAAACTGAACGGTCACGTGCGATCCCGTCGCTTTTTCATGCTTTTTTCTCTCCCCCTCTCCCCCCCCCTCTCTCTCTCTCCCTGCCGCTCTCGCAGCATATCAGCGTGCATCGACGTGCGTGTCACAAGGGATCGCGATGCAACTCGCGTACCGTCCGATCGATCGATCGTCTTGGACGTATCCGGACCGGGACTTGAGCCTGCGAAATTTTGACAAGCCCGGATACTTTCGA